ACTTGTTTAATGCAGCCATGAATATAACGTTACAAATAAAAAAAAAAACTCAATAACCATTACAGATTTCAGGTTGATTATTGACATATATTGTTACTGTGTGGTAGTCTGGGCAGTGGTCCTTAAACATTTTAGACTCGCGACCACATTTACCCTATAGATCGCGTCGCTGGTAACCGGCGTATGCATCATCGTATCTTGTGTAGCGCCGATGATCGTAGGCGGTCTTTGTTGAAGTTGTATTATTCATTGGTGGTTAAAGAGAAGAAGAAGATGAAGAAGAAGAAGAAGAAAAAGAAGAAGAAAAAAAAAAGCCGTTATCTCTTCTGCCTCATGGGTTCTCGTAAAAGAGCGTACTAGTCATGCAGTTATCAGCGCCCCCCCCCCACCCCAACGTGTGTCCTATCCAACGCCAGCATATATTTAACTACTCTTGTTTGGCTTAAGTATGTCTGTTTATCCACACACACTCTATAACAGTATATGTCTGTTTATCCACACACACTCTATAACAGTATATGTCTGTTTATCCACACACACACTCTATAACAGTATATGTCTGTTTATCCACACACACTCTATAACAGTATATGTCTGTTTATCCACACACACTCTAAAACAGTATATGTCTGTTTATCCACACACACTCTATAACAATATGTGTCTGTTTATCCACACACACTCTATAAGCAGTATGTGTCTGTTTATCCACACACACTCTATAACAGTATATGTCTGTTTATCCACACACACTCTATAACAGTATATGTCAGTTTATCCACACACACTCTATAACAGTATATGTCTGTTTATTCACACACACTCTATAACAGTATATGTCTATTTATCCACACACACTCTCTATAACAGTATATGTCTGTTTATCCACACACACTTTATAACAGTATATGTCTGTTTATCCACACACACTCTATAACAGTATATTTCTGTTTATCCACACACACTCTATAACAGTATGTGTCTGTTTATCCACACACACTCTATAACAGTATGTGTCTGTTTATCCACACACACTCTGTAACAGTATATGTCTGTTAATCCACACACACACACTCTATAACAGTATATGTCTGTTTATCCACACACACTCTATTACAGTATATGTCTGTTAATCCACACACACACACAGACTCTATAACAGTATATGTCTGTTTATCCACACACACTCTATAACAGTATATGTCTGTTTATCCACACACACTCTATAACAGTATATGTCTGTTTATCCACACACACTCTATAACAGTATATGTCTGTTTATCCACACACACCCTATAACAGTATATGTCTGTTTATCCACACACACCCTATAACAGTATATGTCTGTTTATCCACAGACACCCTATAACAGTAGCTCTGACATGCCATTTTATTCCTTTCTCGTTTCACCTCTAATTCTGATTTGGTATTTTTTTTTTTCAAAATATGTGTGGTCAGTATTTGCTTTGTAACACTTGGCATTAGTTTGCCTTCTTCTTGACTTTACTCAGCTTGTTGATTTTTTTCATTTTCATTCTGTACGCTTTCGCTCTCATTGTTGGATTCATTCTCACTAGATTGCGCAACTATTTCACTCTTTGTTTCGCAATGAATTTAACAACGTTTTGTTCCGAAAGTCTTCTAGTCTTTACGGTTCTTTCACGAAAGGTCTCTTCTGGGTTTTTATCACAGCTTTTCTCAAACATCCGATTTCACACGTTAGTTATTAGGTCTCCCTCCTTCTCTTCCTTCCCGTTTTCTTCTTTTCTTCTTCTTCTTCTTCTTTTTCTTCTCTTCCACATTCATCTCTGTTGTCACGATTTTACATTCATTAGAGGATGTAAGTGTCCACGTTTGGCACTGATAGCATATTGTTTGCCAAAAATAGTTCTGATAAAGATTTACTTTAGTACTCGGGGCTATCTGCTTGTGCGTAAACAGAGGAGATAGTTGCCGCATTACTTGATTAGCTTTGGCCCATCTCTTTTGGCAACAGGGACGAAACCACCACATTTGGGGAGCGCTGGTGTAAATTTAGGTTTATGATGTAATCACAAATTATGGCTGAGAAATTATGTTCAGCCCTGGGGTTGTCGCTATTTTGCCGCGCAGGTGATGTTGCCAGGTGGGTTGTTACATTTTTGAAAATCGTTTATCATCAGCATCCTCATCACGGTTTCTCTTCTTTTAGCACTACCAACAGACCGCTAACAACAAAAATTACTACTGCTGCTGATACTACTCCAGCTGCTGCTACTGTTTCTGCTGCTGCTGCTGCTACTACTACTACTACTACTACTACTACTACTACTACTACTACTACTACTACTACTACTACTACTACTACTACTACTACTACTACTACTACTACTGCTGCTGCTGCTGCTGCTGCTGCTGCTGCTACTACTACTACTACTACTACGACGACGACAGCTGCTGCTACTCCAGCTACAACTCCTGTTATCACCACCATCACTACACCTGTTGTTTATACTGCAACTACTGCTGCTGTTGCTGCTGCTACTTCTACTGCTGCCACTACTACTACTTCTACTGCTGCCTCTACTGTTTCTCCGTCTTTTTTTTTTCTTTTCTTTTTCTTCTTCTTCTTCTTCTTCTTCTTCTTCTTCTTCTTCTTCTTCTTCTTCTTCTTCTTCTTCTTCTTCTTCTTCTTCTTCTTCTTCTTTCTTCTTCTTCTTCTTCTTCTTCTTCTTCTTCTTCTTCTTCTTCTTCTTCTTCTTCTTCTTCTTCTTCTTATTTCTCTTCTTCTTTCTTCTTCCTCTTTAAAAAAAAAAAAATTACCATTGCTATAATTTCAAATACTGCAACTCCCGTTAAGATTCTGGGGTCTCATTGTGAGTAGGGGATGAACAAAGTACCCCCTAAAAAGCGTGTCGTAAAGATGACTAATTAGGTGCGTTTACTTCGACGTCGGAGTTCATCTACTTAAGAGACCAAGAACCAACAGTCTGCATACAGATAACCCGTATTTTTTTAAAAAAAGGTCTCCACTCTCTAGACCCAATCTTAAAACATGCAGAATTTTCCCTAACCCCAACCCCTTAAAGTCCTACGAGAGAGTGCAGCTAGTAATTCCACAAGAGAGTGCAGCCGACGTCTCACGACTGCATATACTACATGCGATATCACCTGCCGGTGACAACAACTAGTAAAATACTACGTGCTAGTAGCCGGTCACTGAGCGCAACACCCCGGGAACATAGGACAAGCTCCCGCGACACGGTGATTCATGAATGGCAAGGGACATCACTCTTTCTGGGGCGGAAAACGTAAATAGGACCGAAATTTGCATTTGTGGGGGAACAATTGTTTGAGGCACCCGCAGGCTGTGAGGCCCTGTGATTTAGCTTGTTTAGCTTATACTTATATCTGGCACTGTTACTAACCTACCACTGCATTGTATCAGCCCTGTCATCTCTAGGGTGTGGCGTCTTAGTGAGATGGCCGGATATCTGGCGACATCTGCAACCGGTCCGGGTATCCTCCCATCTCACGCTCCAACACACATGGTTCATGAATGAACGAACTTTATTTTTAAAAGGTCACACGTTAGGCACTCAGGCCTGTCTTCATTAGACCCTTCAAAACTCCCATCTTTCACACAACAGTTGTATTTCATCAATAAAGCATGTTATGTTCATGTAATAATATGCATTTTATGAATATCAAGTCAAAAACATAAGCTTGGGTGGTAAAAATTGTGCGCACGCTGGCGCGAACACACACACACCCACATACACACGCAAACCCATTTACTTACTTACTTACACACACCCAAATACACACGCAAACCCATTCACTCACACACACATACACGCAAACCCATTCACTCACACACACACACATACACACGCAAACCCATTCACTCACTCACACACACACATATAGGTGGCTAGCTTGTCCCCTCCATGATCGCAGTCTGCAGGCTTAAGACCTCAAGGATGAGCATCTGTTGAGAGTATGTTTCTCCTTGTGTTTAATAGTTAAAATGCTGAAGGGGTTTCCGGGAATTGCACCTCTTTTATTCTGTACATGATTTCACAGAACCTCAAAGAATCAAAAAGTTTGATCATCTGACCAGCATGAAACAAAATCCGCCAGCCGCTAGAGCGTACTATATGAGAGCATTAGGCTACAACTCAAGAAGCCAAAAAAAAGAAAAATATTGGTGAAGGGGGTGAAAAAAACACTACAGAAGGGCAGTATAACAGCTACGGAGTTCGTACTCTGAGCAGCGCTCTCGGCAAGAGTGTCTCAGTTATATTGACAGACACAGAATGAAATGGTTTGGCCATCTAGTGAGAATGCAGCCAGACCAAACTGCATATCGGGCTTTTACAGCAGAACATCTAGGAGTAAGGCAAAAAAAACCTACACCATAATTATAACCGAAGCTGTCTTCCGCAGGGATGAACATGGTCGACTTTACATTTTTTTCTTGAAGAACCAACCAAACAACCAGTAAAGACAGTTTGCTCTAACATCTAAATTCAAAACTCTAATTTTCTTTAATAGTGTTTATGGACTGTAAGTCATATCCAGGTGTAAAGAAATCATGGACATTGTCCAGTTCGTGACCAGGATGTCCATATGTAAAGAAATCATGGACATTGCCCAGTTTGCAAAAATTACGGACATTGCCCAGTTTGCAACCATGATGTCCATATGTAAATGGATCATGGACATTGTCCAGTTTGCAACCAGGATGTCCATATGTAAAGGAATTATGGACATTGTCCAGTTTGCAACCAGAATGTCCATATGTAAAGGGATCATGGACATTGTCCAGTTTGCAACCATGATGTTCATATGTAAAGGGATCATGGACATTGTCCAGTTTGCAACCAGGATGTCCATATGTAAAGGGATCATGGACATTGTCCAGTTTGCAACCAGGATGTCCATATGTAAAGGGATCATGGACATTGTCCAGTTTGCAACCAGGATTAATATATGAGCCATTTGTCTGTCTTCCACAGCTGGTTGTCGTCTTCGAGATGTTCATACCTCTGGTTCTCTTCGTGATCCTTCTGCTGATCAGGGAGAAGCTGCCAGCATCCAAGATGTCCATAGGTAAATATTCTCTCTCTCTCTCTCTCTCTCTCTCTCACTCTCTCTCTGTCTCTGTCTTTCTCTCTCTGTCTTTGTGTTTCTCTGTCTCTTTCACTCTCACTCTGTCTCTGTCTCTCTGTCTGCTGTCTCTGTCTCTCTCTGCTCTCTGTCTCTGTCTCTCTCTGCTCTCTGTCTCTCTCTGTCTGCTCTCTCTGTCTCTCTGTGTCTCTGTCTCTCTGCTCTATGTCTATCTCTGTCTTTCTCTGCTTTATGTCTCTGTCTCTCTCTGTCCGCTCTCTTTGTCTGCTCTCTCTGTCTCTGTCTCTCTGTATCTCTGTCTCTTTCTGCTCTCTGTCTCTGTCTCTCTCTGTCTGCTCTCTCTGTCTGCTCTCTCTGTCTCTCTCCATCTCTGTCTCTCTGCTCTCTGTCTGTCTCTGTCTCTCTGTGTCTGTCTCAGTCTCTGTCTCTTTGCTCTCTCTCTCTCTGTCTGTCTCTCTCTGTCTGTCTCTCTCTCTGTCTGCCTGTCTCTGTCTCTCTGTGTCTGTCTCTCTGTCTGTCTCTCTGTATGTCTTTCTCTGTCTGTCTCTCTCTGTCTGTCTCTGTCTTTGTCCGTCTCTCTCCTTATCTCTCTGTGTCTGTTTCTCTCTGTCTATGTCTCTCTCTGTCTCTCTGGGGCTGCCTCTCTTTGACTGTCTCTCTCTGTGACTCTCTGTCTCCCTCTCTCTGTCTTTCTCTCTCTGTCTTTCTCTATCTCTCTCTATCTGTCTCTCTCTGTTTCTCTCTCTGTCAGTCTCAGTCTGTCTCTTTATCTCTGTCTGTCTCTGTCTTTCTCCCTGTCATTTGTAAGTATGAGTATGTATGTGCAAGATTATATGTATGTGTGTATGTTTGTGCATGGTTGTTTATATATGATCATGTGTGTATGCATTAGCATATGTGTGCATGTTTATGTATGAATATGTGGGTATATGTTATGTATGTATCTTTCAGTATGTATGTTTGTATGAGAGTTTATGTGTGGATATATATGAGCGTGTGTGTATCGGTAGGAATGAGTGGGTATGTAGTGTGTGTGTGTGGGTGGGTGGGTGGGTGTGTGTATATATGTGTATAAGTGAGTGAGTAAATGTGTGAGTGGGTGTGATAATTCACTAGAGAAAGAGAGATTTTCCAGTGTTGTGTAAAGCACTTTCTGCTTGACAATGATTTGCAAGCTGAACAAATAAATCATCACGTTTTGCCTGTTCCCTGTTTCAGCTCGGAACCACGTCAGAGCTCTGCCATCGACAGGCATGCTGTCTCTCATTCAGCTGTTCTGTGAGGGCGAGGGCGAGCTGGACCAGCAGGGGTTTCTCAATTTCTCCAGTGAAAAGTGAGTAGTTGAGGCACATGTTGACATGCAGGGGGTTGAGTAGTCTCGAGGTATGGCATCACGTGGACTTCTAGTAATTTCCCCTGGTCACTGGGTAGTAAGATCAGACGCCCATGTGTATTGTTGCTCACGTAAAAAAAAATCCCTTGGCAGTTGGAAATCGAAAAGAGTAGCCTAACGGCACTGCCCAGGCAAAATTTTGAGTTAGAAATCTACCCAAAATGTTTCAGGATCCTCACCGGTGCTGCAGAGTTCATGCACTGCTCTTAGATTCTTCAGACTCGGGCTTTAGTTAGAAGTAGAAAGGAGCACTTATGAGTTACCACCCTTGTGCCATGATGTTGATCTGTTGTTTAAACAGAAACAGAAACATGTTGACAACACAGGCATGGGAAACACATGCAATTCTTCATCTTCTTCACTTTCACTGGTTGTAAACTTTAACGGATAGCTGTGGTTGTTCATCCACTTTTGGACTTTAGTCCTTTACAGAATATAAACATAACATCCTTTACAGAATATAAACATAACATCCTTTTCATAATATAAACATAACATCCTTTACAGAATATAAACATAACATCCTTTACAGAATATAAACATAACATCCTTTTCATAATATAAACATAACATCCTTTACAGAATATATACATAACATCCTTTACAGAATATAAACATAACATCCTTTACAGAATATAAACATAACATCCTTTACAGAATATATACATAACATCCTTTACAGAATATAAACATAACATCCTTTACAGATAACAATTATATTGTTTGAAGGATAAATGTTTGGAAGGGCCGAATGTAAGATGGTCTGCGTGCTCAATTTGTAACCCTTTAAAAAAAGTTTGTTTTTCGTTTTCTTTCATTATTGAAAGGGTGATTGGCATTGTAGTTTACAGATAGTCTGCAGTGCCTTTCGGCCCAACACAATTAGTTTCAGCAAAACCTTTCAGTAGGCGCTCTTTACAACACGCATGCACCCAAACATGCATGCACATACACACACGCACACACCTTGCTAAGGCACATGGTGGCTGATATGGCCAGTATTATGTAGTCCGACTTACATCTTTGAAATTGTTTGGCAACTATTTATTTTAAGTTTGATTATCCCTGATGCCATTGGATCATGATTAAATCTCACCTCAGGAGAGTTTGAACCCAGAATCTCTAGGCTAGTAAGCAGGTGGACTAGCCACAGTGCTGCTGACCAGAACAAAGACAACAAAGAAATAACTCTCTTGGATGCACTAGAATTGCTTTGATACCAGCTATCTAATAAGATCAGGCGTAATTATGGTTCTCCTGCTCCCTAGGGAACCTTAGTGATAATCTCGATGACCAGATGCCATTGATCTCAACCATTAATGGCTTGCTAACATGGCAGCCTCCCACGTTTGCTCTTTAGAGATATTTTTAACAACTCAGCATTACTGATCAATAACTCATCTTTTTTTGTGAACGTTTGATTACGATTCTCCATTACTACTCCATTATATGGCTTTGGTTTTGGTTTTGTTAGGAGGTCTCCACGGTGACATGGTTTAGCGGTTTTTCTCACACTTGAACGATTTTCAGTTTGATTTTATGTGTTCCGAGGGATTCATTGTGAAAGAAGAAAATAAATATTAGACCCGCTGGCCCCAGGCATGTCATAACAGTCGACTTATTCGTAAAAAAAAAAAAAAGTTGGAGTGCGTTCCTTAGATTGATGAGGAACCAACAGTTTGCATACAAATAAGCCAGATCTGTAAAATGGATGTGAACACAAAACTCAAGTTCTGGAACAAGACTAAAATCCAGAAGTGGATGAACAACCAGAACTTTTCCCTTTAGTTTACAGCTGGTGAATATGAAGAAGAAGATTCTGTCTTGTTTCTTGAGAGGAAGTGTTTAGAAGATCTGTGGCGGTTGTTTCAGGAGTTGTAGAATCTGTGCTTTGTGTAATGCTTGTAGGTGACCATCTGCTCACAGGTTGTCCTCACTTTTTTCTCATTTTAGTGCCTGTTTTGGGATTCTCTGCTGGTTTCTTCTCAGGTTGTGTTCAGTACAGCATATTCTTCTTATCTATTAACTATTATTTCTAGAGGTTGCCAGTCATTTCACCTCTTGAATGTTACACACACACACACACTTCTGTCTATCTGTCTGTGCATCGCGCATATGTTTTGTGTGTGCATGTGAGAACACAGTGTGTGGGTGTGTGTGTGAGAGTTTCTGTCTGTGTGTGTGTGTGTCTGTATGGATGGATGGATGAATGGATAGATAGATGGATGGATGGGTGGGTGGTTGGATGGATGGATGGATGGGTGGATTATTTGATAAAATATAACTAAAAGATCATGCAGCGAGGCTAGAGATTAGGATATGGCTTCACAGCTTGATTGAGAGAAAAAGTCATTGCGGAGCAGAGTGGGGTATATTCAGAGGCAACATCTAGGAGGTGAATGGAAATAAAAACAGTCACTACGGCTCTGTGATGGCTTTCAAAAATTCTTTTAGTCATTGCTCCAATAGGTTTTCTCTGGTTATTTCTGGTATGAGTGGTTGAACATAGTCATAAGGTCTGCACTAACTGAAGTATATGCACATAGACATATGAACTACATACACACACAGTTCATACACACAGATGCATACATACACACACACACACACAAAATGCACATAAATTAAATTATAGAACCCTTTTTCACACCTTCAGACGTATTGGGTATGTGGTGGTAGACCTATATTTTATAGATCATTGGGTATTCGATGGGTAATATGGTCAGCATCTTGCCAGCATACATACATAGGTACATACATATATACCATACATATATATATAAAAAAATTTTTTTTACACATTTATGCACACATGCAAGCACACGCGCAATCGTGCACGCACGCACACACGCCCGCCCGCACACACGCACGCACGCACTCTCTCTCTCTCTCTCTCTCTCTCTCTCTCTTTCACTCTCAGTCTCACTTTCACTCTCACTGAGAGAGAGAGAGATGGATGCATGGATGAGCAGCTCACCGAAGTGGATGTTTTTGTCAAGAGTATCCCCCCCCCCCCTCCCCTGTCTCTGTCCCACAGTCAGCTAAGCCGGCTCCTGGAGCAGCTGCAGATTGTGGCCCAAGACCACGACTACTTCAGACCCGGCATCTCCCCGCAGGAGATGGATGATCTCCCAGAGACCTACCAGGCGGTCATTGATGATCCAGCTTTCATGATTGATGCTCTAAAGAATGCCTCAGGTGAGCTGTTTGTTTTAACTGCCAGTTGTATTTAACTTTTCCGGATTAGTCAGGGGGTCTTCAAGCCTGAGGATTTAGGGCTGCATAGCTAGTGCTGTTGCCACAGACTGTGCAGGTTAGGATTTAATTTTTTGCCTTCAAAGGAAGAAAATTAATCCCCAGCTTTAGCAAGTTTCTGGTTTGTGTCAAGATGGTGGGACGTGTTTCTCTCTAGCTCGGCGCATATCGGTTGATCTACGGTCCGACAAGCTGTCATCGCAAAACCACAAATTGTTATAGAATCAGATTTCTGACTCTAACTGCATGATGACTATGTCGGCCGCGCCCTTAGAATGGATAAATCAAGACTTCCTTACCAAGCCCTCATTTGGACACCACAGGGGAAAAGATCTCGTGGAAGACCAAAGGAAACCCTACGTAGAACTATCATCAGGGAAGGCTCACTCATGGGCCACTCAAACATCCAAGACCTACAACGGATTGCAACGAACCGCCATGCATGGAGAGTCATGACCTCTGCCCTATGTGCCGCACTCGACACAAGAGGAAAGACTAACTAACTAACTAACTTTAGCAAGGATTCAAACATGGTCTCATGCCCGAGAGCCTAAATTTTTAAACGTTTGGCCAGCTGCTCCTCTGTGTGTAGTAGCTACAGTAAAACCTTTTTTGTTTAGTTTGAGTCAAAGTTTAAACTTCACCGTAGTCGGGTCACCCCATGCTTGCTCCTTTTCTGTGCCAAGGAAAATCAAATGAAATGTCCCCCACTGTTCCATTGAAAAATAAACTGGTGAATAACAATTAATCCCGGCAAAATTCAGAAATATGCGCACGCAGTAGATGCATACAGCAGTTGCTAGAAGTGCCAAAGCAAACAGTCACCACCAGCAATGCAGTTTGTCGTTGATGGAAGTAGTCGGGTACGAAAAGTTGGCTATGCGCATGTAGATTTATTAAAAGTAAAAAAAAAAGTAAAGATCCCTTTTCACGCCTTTCGGCGCATCGGGCATATGGGCAGAGCGTCCCATATTTTTACAGACCATCAGCACTCTGTGGGTAATGTGGTCAGCATTACGCCGGCTGTCTTTACTTTCCCAGGACAGCCCATCCTGGTACCCATTTTAGGCTGGGTCGACCTGCGACGTCCCATACCACGATAAAAATCCACGCAGCCTGCAGTGGGTTTCGATCGCGGCATGCTGGCTCACGAGTGGGACTCGCAACGCCTTAGCCACGGACGCCGCATGTAGATTTATTGCATAAGGTAATTTCACCAGCCTACACATATACTGGCTACTGGCTGTATTGAATACCATGACTCATTTGCTGCACAAATAAAAAGGCATTTGACAGGAAGAAAAAGTTCACAGGGATGCACCAAGCACTAAACTCTGTAGCTCAGGCAGCGAAAGTATAAACTACCCTCCATATATGGAAACTGCATTAGCAAAGTGCTGTCTGAAGCAAAAATAACTTTAAATTCACATTCTTCCATGCCTAGTCCTCCATTTTAGACCGGTAGTCTCAACAATAAATCTATAAACACAAATTCCAAAAAAGTGGAAAAATCAAGTTTGTGTTATAACCTATATGCTAACCGCAGACAAATTATTACATTATGAAGCATTGCAGATGTGAAAAAATAATAGCAGAAGGCATAGTGCCAGAAAAGAGGGGCAGGGGCTGACCAACATGAAGATGGGCACAGGATATAGGTGACTCCTTGAGTGTGAAAGTGCATGAGGTGGGAGAGCTGGCAAGAGACCGAGTTCTTTCAGGCATACTATGATGAGAAGGATGTTCTACAAATGACCTACTACATGATGATATATCTTAAGCAAGTTTAGGTTAACGTGATATATATGAAAAGTTCTTACAGAAATTTATTACGCAAATGAGGTCGAATGTTGAATAAAGAATCAACATCATAGCACTCAGGACACTCCCATAAGCGCTCCATCTCCATCTCCAGCAGCAAGTAAAATTTTTAAATGTTGATGGCACCAGTAACTGATTGTATATTTGTCTCGCCTTTCCCTTGAGTGTTATGCGTCGGCCAGACTCTTTGCAGCGCCATTCTTCTTAGACCGTATTGATCTGTCTGTCCCTCTGCACTGTTCTCTCACTCCTAAAGGGCCCTCATAGATTGTCATACATCAGTTCACCACCAAGTGGTGCAGAACCGGCTGGATTAGAAACATTTACTTACAGATCTGAATGCTGACAATGAAGAATACATTTTAAAATAATAAATTGCTTTCTATTCACTTTTGCAGACATTACCTTTAGTTCTCTGCTGAAAGACACTAGACATTTCCGGAAGTTTCTCATCAACAACTTGTCTCTGCCCCAAGAAGAAGCAGACACCCTGATCAACTCTACTATACATGTGAGAGAGGTAATGAGGCAGAGTTTACTCAGTTTTACCTGATTCGAAATTTTGTCTTCTAAACAAAGAAGACACATAAACAATGCATTGCACAATTTATTGCCTGGCATATTTCGCTGTATCTCGTCAGGTGCATACTACAGTAACAGTTACGTAAATGAAGCAAAAAATTGAATCCCTTTTAACTGAAGCACAAATTCAACTACAATCGAGCGCAACTGCCTGTTTTGCCAAGGCAGCCGCAGTCAGAACCACATCTTTTTGTTTACAGAGAAACCAGAGAAAATAAATCTGAATAATGAGCATGCAAACAATATACACTGTATTGCATAATTAATCACCCAGTGTATTTGCATAATTTGTTACCTAATGTATTTCACCGTATCTTAAAAGGTAACTACCATATAATTTACATTAACATACAATGAAACACACAGAATAAAACCTGAAGGAGATCAAACAGTAAACATAAAATGACCATATTAACTGACTAAACAGACGGCAGTTCACCACTGGTTTTTTAATTTGATAAGGACACTTAAGATCAAGAGAAGGCAATTGATCCAGTCAGTAGATGCAAACTATGAACAGTTCTAGAAGATTATGGTATTCAAGATCAAACTCTTAGGTAAGATCAGGGCTCTTTGTCAAGATAGTGAGTGCACAGAAAGAACAACAGAAGGAATGACAGCTGTCAGACAGGGATGTTTCCTCTCACCATTGCTAATTATTACTTACATGGATAGAATTACAAAGGAAGTTATACAGACACTGCAGAAATCAATGAACGTCTTTTTGCAGTTGATCAGTGTCTAATACATCACCAAGAACAATTTACAACACCAGATTGACTCCTTACATCAAACCTGCACAAAGTGTGACATGAGAATAAACACCGCAAAAACTGAGGTGGTGAGGACATGCAGGAAACATAAAATCATGAATGTTTATGTTAATGATGCTACAATAAAACAAGTACGAGACTTCAGATATCTAGGAGGCATATTTACAGAGGATGGCAGACTCGATACAGAGGTAGAAGCCAGAGTACAGAAGGCAAATGCTGTCATCTATCAGTTAGCCCCACTGCTTAGAAACCCAAATGTCTCGCTTCCAGCAAAACAGCAAATGATTAAAAGCATCTTTATCCCTGTTCTATGTTATCAGTGCCAAACATGCACAATGAATAGGGCACTAGAACAGAAAATAACCACATGTGAAATCCACTGTCTCTGCAAGGTCACAGCTCAGGAAGAGATGGGGATACAAATACCAGCATTAGAGAGAAAGCTGGAATAAGACCACACCTGGATGATAGCGACAGACAAAGAATGAAATAGTTCAGCCATCTAGTGACACTGTAGCCAGACCAAACTGCATATGAGAGTTTTTACAGTAGAACGTCTGGGAGGAAAGTGAGGGAAGACCAAGAAAGAGGTGGATAATGGTGTAGTAGAAAGCTGCAAAAAAGATGAAAAAATCCATCCCCTAAGCCACCCCATAAAAGCAAGACAAAAACAGAACACCATGACCCTGGGCTACAGCCTGGTAACAGTGAGACAACAAAAGAAGAAGAAGAAGAAAATTGGACACTGCAGACTTAACGGACAGTTGCACAGAATGAAGGTTGTACAATCCACCAGGTGTCCCTGCCAGACCGCACTAAAACACCTGAGCATGTACTGCAGAACAGCAAAGACAGTGAGAAAACACATGGTCCGAGGGAATAGGCATCCATGAAACTGATCACACAAAAAAGAAGAAAACATCCTTCCTTTCACTATCCTGTTTACCGTGAGACTGACTAAATGTACTGTGTTTCATTATCTTGTTTACCACTGGAGTCCTATGCTGACTAAATGTTCTGTGTTTCATTATCTTGTTTACCACTGGAGTCCTATGCTGACTAAATGTTCTGTGTTTCATTATCTTGTTTACCACTGGAGTCCTATGCTGACTAAATGTTCTGTTTCATTATCATGTTCACAACTGGAGTTCTATGCTGACTAAATGTTCTGTTTCATTATCATGTTTACCACTAGAGTCCTATGCTGACTAAATGTTCTGTGTTTCATTATCATGTTTACCACTAAAGTCCTCAGCTGACTAAATATTCTGTTTCATTGTCATGTTTACCACTAGAGTCCTATGCTGACTAAATGTTCTGTGTTTCATTATCATGTTTACCACTGAAGTCCCCAGCTGACTAAATGTTCTGTGTTTCATTATCATGTTTACCACTGGAGTCCTAGGCTGACTAAATGTTCTGTGTTTCATTATCATGTTTACCACTGGAGTCCTAGGCTGACTAAATGTTCTGTGTTTCATTATCATGTTTACCACTGAAGTCCTCAGCTGACTAAATGTTCTGTGTTTCATTGTCATGTTTACCACTGGAGTCCTAGGCTGACTAAATGTTCTGGGTTTCATTGTCATGTTTACCACTGGAGTCCTAGGCTGACTAAATGTTCTGTGTTTCATTATCATGTTTACTACTGAAGTCCTCAGCTGACTAAATGTTCTGTGTTTCATTATCATGTTTACCACTGGAGTCCTAGGCTGACTAAATGTTCTGTGTTTCATTATCATGTTTACCACTGGAGTCCTAGGCTGACTAAATGTTCTGTGTTTCATTATCATGTTTACCACTGAAGTCCTCAGCTGACTAAATGTTCTGTGTTTCATTGTCATGTTTACCACTGGAGTCCTAGGCTGACTAAATGTTCTGGGTTTCATTATCATGTTTACCACTGGAGTCCTATGCTGACTAAATGTTCTGTGTTTTATTATCATGTTTACCACTGGAGTCCTAGGCTGACTAAATGTTCTGTGTTTCATTATCATGTTTACCACTGGAGTCCTAGGCTGACTAAATGTTCTGTGTTTCATTATCATGTTTACCACTGAAGTCCTCAGCTGACTAAATGTTCTGTGTTTCATTGTCATGTTTACCACTGGAGTCCTAGGCTGACTAAATGTTCTGGGTTTCATTATCATGTTTACCACTGTAGTCCTCGGCTGACTAAATGTTCTGTCTCTTTTTCCATAACATGCCAATGTATATTGTTTACTGCAAAGGGGACTTGAGCATACGCCCAGCTGGCCAGCAGTTACTTTATAGCAACTTTCACCAAGGAAATAACCCTTAAACTTGAACAGAAATCTCTTTAATACATGAAAATAACTTGTCAAAAACTCTTTGTTTTGTTGTCTTTCAGTGAATTTGAAGCATGATCTTATGTCCATTATATTTCTGTTAGTAAGATGAATTCAAGAAAGGTAAAGAAATATGAAAAATTTCTGGGCGACCACTGATTTCAGCAGCTGAAAGACACAGATAGCGCTATACTGGATACATTTTGAGAAAAGACAATCACCAAACAGGTACTGAAATGGGAAACAGAGGGATTGATAAATGAGGAGATCCAAGAGAAACCATAAAGTGAAAGTTGATGAGAGAGACCAAAGATGCTGGAGTGGATCCTTCCAGGATATCAAAACAATTGCGCAGGATAGAACAGAATGGAGAAATAGCCTGCGAACCCTCTGTGACTTGTAATGGCACAGGATGACACTGAACGAATTAACAAAAATTTCTGTTGGTTTTAAATAAACCATTTACCTCTATTCACAGATATACCACTATATATTTGGTGGAAAAATAGGCTTGAACCTTCAAGTGCCCTTTCTGCGCTACCGACGAAGCTCAGACAACAGTTATCCTTCCACTGACCTCCTCAGCAGCTTCCTGAACAACAGCAACAATGTCATGCTGTTGCCGGCCTTCCTCTCTTTGTTGCCATCATCAAATGGTACATCCAGCCTCTTGTTGGATTTACTGAAGAACATGCACACGTCGGATCTGGCTGGGTTTTTGCAAGAAGCTACAGCAGCCGGAGGGGCTGGGCAGCAGTTGTACTGGATCAGTGTTCTACAGAAGTAGGGACCTTTGTATCTTGAGTATCATGTTTTTTATATCATATGTACCGTCTTCGGAATTCTCTCTGTCCAGCTGTACCAGACCGTTCTACAGAGCTAGGAGCTTTGTATGTTTAGTATCATGTTCTATGGGTGTTCTGTGGAGGTTGGAGCTTAGTGTCTTGAATATCATGTTCTATCAGTTTTCTGCTGAGATAGGGACCTTTGCTTTTGAATATCATGTTTTGTAGATGTTCTTTTTAGGTAGAAGCTTAATTTTTTTAATATCATGCTCTGTGGGTGTTCTGCATAGGTAGGAGCTTAGTGTCTTGAGTACTGTGTTCGGTATATCGTTTATATCATTTTCTGAATTCATTCATCTTTCCCGTTTGCATTCTTGGGCCCCAGTTTGGGACAAAAGACTATCTGCAACACTAACTATTCCCTAACAAGCAAGTAGTAGGAAGCCAATAATTAGGTCTCATTAGGTCTTTTTTTATTTAATTCAGTGTGCATTTGCCTATGTAGTGTGGAATCAACAGTCTGCATAAAAATATGCCAGATATGAAAAATAAATGCGCACGCAAAACTCAAGTTATGGAACAAAACCGAAGTTCAGAAGTGAACAAACAACTAAAGCTGATGAACACTGAAAATGAAAAATTAGGAAAAAGATGACAATTCTTTCAGTCTAGCTATACTGGATTAGTGATCTCTATTTTCTAAAAAAATACCCCCACCCCCTGGCATAATTTTTTGCTCAGTAGTTAGACCGTTAACTCCGTGATTGGATTTTAGGGTGGACAAAAAAATGGTGTGATGTGGTGCTTTGCATGGTCTCCACGCGTACAGTGTGGCAGGCAGAAAGTCTGTGCGACAAGCACAGAGCTGGACTCGTGGTCAGTTACTTACCAGAAGTCGTAGAAGACGGTTGTGTTAATAGAAGATGTAGTTCTTATGTCGTGCGAATGACCAGTGTTATAATAGGTTGGAAGCGATGGAAGTGTGAATAATTGTTGGAGCATATTGAATAAATGCAACAGAATAAACTGACAGCATGTACAAGGAAAGTGAGAGCAGTTTGTGTTAGCAATCCTAGACATTAGAGCAGTACAAGTTGCTATGTTGCAGTAATCAAATAAAGCCGAATTGTGGCAGAATTCAGATTCGTTGCAAGCCAGAATCATTGCACATGGATTCACTGTCCCTTGACAAGCATGTCATGAAATTAAGCTCATTAAGGTTTGCTGAATTCATGTTGAGTTGAGTTGAGTCAAGAATTGACATCACAGCACTCGGGGCATTCCCATGTGTGCTCCGTCCTCATCGTCAGCAGCCAGTTCAGAGTTCCAATACTGATGGTACCGGTCACAATCTGGTTATATGTCCGTCTTGCCTTTCCTCTGAGTGTAGTGAGCTGGCCAGACCCTCTGGTTACACCCAGGTGCCTCATTGTCTCCAGGCCAAAATAATCTTGTTTTTCCACTGATTTCGTTGCTTGTTCCCAAAGGGCCTTGACCAGATCTGCCTTGTCATGTATCAATTCACCACCCAGTGATGCAGATCCAGCCAATCTGAATTCATGTTTTATTGGGCCAAAAGACAAATTTTCCATCTAAGCTGTAAACCACAAAATAATATGTCATCCACCTTTTTAAGGGGGAAACACAGAAGGGGAAAAAGAACGCCATTATCTTGAAGTTTTTTTCTAAATGTTTTAATGATGAAAATGTCTTGTTATTCCCAAACTTCATTTTGTTTTATCTTCTTCTTCAGCATTCTGAGCCCCTGAGGTTCTTGCTGCAGGTATCACCCACCTCCATTCATCTCTCTGGTTGGCATCGTTTCCATTTGATGACACCAAGTGTTTGTTGGTCTGTCTGGCCACTATCTCTCCATCGTTTTCTTGGTCTGCCTCTTGGCCTATGACCATTCATCTCCCTTGTGTATACAGTGTTTACCTCTCTTTATCTGACATTCTTTCAATATGCCCCAACCATTTCAGTCTTTTAGCGCTCATGATGCCAGTGATCAATGGTGATTTAAACAGATGATGAATTTCATTGTTGCTTCTCACTCTCCATTCCCTGCTGTTTGCATCTTTGATGTGCTCAAAGATTCATCATAAGACTGTTTTCCAAAATTTGTAATAAGGTTTCATCTCTTTTAGTTGTGCTCCAGGTTTCCGAATCATACATAAAATGACTGGTCCTATCAGCATTTTATATATTTTGATTGTGTTGTTGTGATAGAGACTTTGTCTTTGGCAGATGTTGAATAGCATTCTAGATTGTATTTCTTCTCAAAATTTTGTTTTGCAAAATTTATATTTTTATTTTTTTAGATTGATTCAACAGATGGGAGATGGTAGCGTGCAAGAACTGATGCCAATTTTACAGGACATCATGGCTGATCCGTCCAAGCTGTCCACGAAGGAAGGTCTTCAGGTTGTGAACCACATCCTTCAGAGGATTGAGGCTGCCAATGGATCGATCATTATTCAGCCGGACCTGATTGCTTCCGCTTTAAAGGTATTGCTGTAGTTATTCTTTTCAATCATTTGCCTACTATTTCTTTTTCTTCTCCAGGTATTGATCGGTACTCATAGAAGGATGCTTGGTTAATATAAATTTATGTTACCTAATGGGTCATCTTTGCTTTGAGACAAATTCTGCCTGTATTCCATAGTTGTGAATTCAAGCTATTTGACAGACACAGCTAATGAAGATACCTGTCTTTGGGGGTGCCTTGTTGGTCGAGCTTCTTAGTACACTTGTTTCTGCATCGAGAAATTGTCATCATTTGGAGATGACAGATTCAATTTCCGACATGGACACTATAGCTTTCGAATTTTTATGTTGTCTAGTGTTCTTTTTATCTAATTCCTTCTTTAATTGGCAATCAGTACATGTTTGTTTGTTTATTATATATAATTTTTCTGCGGACCCCAGAGGTTATCCAGTTTTTTTCTCTCCTCCATTAGCTTTACTTTCTATCTCCCCCTCTGCTTCTCCTTCTGTTTCTTCTCTTTTCCTCTGTCTGCTTTGTTGCCACATCTAGCTTCTTCATCTGTTTCTTTTCTGTTTTCCCTCCTTTTCTTCTTCTTCCTTCCCTCCTTCTCCTACTTTGTATTTGCCTTCTTCACATTTTTATCTTCTTCTTGATATTTTCTCTTCTCTGCTTTTCCTTCCTGATCCTGCCTTATCTTCTTCTATTCCTTCTCCTTTCCTTTTTTTCCCTTCTGCTTCATTATTCTCTTGTGCTTACTATTGAGCCATCATGGTGTAGCAGCTAGACACTTGTCTGTGGATCTTGAAAGTCATAGGTTCAGGGTCTGATAGCACTGTCCAAAAAAAAAAAAAAAAAAAACCTGGCTCCCAGATCAACCCAGCCCTAAGTGGGTACCAGGTAAAATCCTGGGATGAAAAGGCAGCTGGAGTGATATTGACCACATAACCCAGCGAGTGCCAGTTGGTCTAGTTCTAGCCCTATATGCCCAATACTCCTAAAGGCATGGAAAGGAGTTCTTTACTTACTTACCTTACTATTGATTTTGACGTCACCTCCAGGTTATTTTTTTTTTTTAAAAACGTATCCAGAAACCATGAGTTGTAAACCCTTTGGCTCGGTACTATGGATATCGCAACCCTTCGGCATTGATTCCATTATAGGTACCGTTAATCTGGGAGAAATGTGGCTTTTCTGCCTACACCCGGGAGTGAACCCAGACCACAAGGAGTTCGTCACCCGGCCGCCGCGAAAGTCAGGTTTAACCAACTTCGCTAGAGAGCCGGCGACACACCTCCATGGTTACCCAGGTTAAGTGTAAGCTTAAAACTTGCTAACATTTGTTTGAATTTCGTTGTAAAAGTCTCTAAAAGTTACCATAATGTAATGTTCTTGCTTTCTTTTCCTCCCACCAGTTAATTTTGGGATCACCTTGGGTGATGAGAAAATTCCTCTGCGATAACGACACATTTGTTGATGTGATAATTCCTCCCAACTCCACCAATCAGTCTGTTGTGGTAAGTGTTTGTGTAATGATGCCTGTTTGTCATTTTATCCAACCTGACAGTCATTTTCCACTCCCTACTGAAACAAGATACAGTACACTGTGCCATTTACATCTGGTAAAGGTAAAAGGTAAAGTCGGGAGATGTGAACCAGCGTCATTGCACATGGTTATAAACCATAAGTGCTCTGCCACCAGTACGGACAGCTGATAAGAATTGTCCACCTGTGTCGCTGTCTGCACGTAACTCTGTAGCTACAGTGACGTTCCTCCATTTACCCCAGAGAGTCAACACTGATACCCATTTTCTAAAGGCTGGGTGAACCCCGGGAACCGCCTGGTTTTGAACACTGACCGTAGGCTGCAGCAAGTCGCAGCTGGATTTGAAAGTGAGCCTCTTATCGATTGCGCTAACGCTGGTCTGACAGTTATTGCACTTGTAGATAGATATCATCAATCTTTGCAAACAGTTGACTGTGATGCACATGAGGCTTGCCACATTCAGAGGAACGGCTAGACAGACATACAAATAGACTACTGCTGGAAAACAGACATGCAGTCAAACTAAATATATTAATTACATAATAATTAAATGATATATAAATACATATTTATAATGCTAATGTTGGTAAATATTTTTTACGCAACATTTAGGTATTGTTTTATGATGTATTGCTAACTTATTTATGTAGATAAATATTTATTAAATAAAATATAGATAAATATTTATTACACCACATATAGGGAAATATTTATTGCTTGACATATAGGTAAATGTTTATTTATATAGATACATATTTGTCAAATGAAATATAGATACAAATTTATTACACAATATATAGGGAAATATTTATTATGGGACATATAGGTAAATTTTCGTTTATAAAAAATAAATATTTATGAAATGTCAGATAAATATTCATTACATGACATACATGTAAATATTTTTTACATGACATAAAGATAACTATTATTTCATGAGATTTTCTACTAAACATTCTAGGAAGATCTACATTTCCGTCTGTGTCACCTGACAGATGCAAAACTTCAGGAGTTATCTAATGAATTGTCTGAAGAAATAACCAATGAGAAATTGATTGAGCTGGTGAGCAAGCGTCTGAAGACGTGCCTTTACTATGTTACGTTGTTCTTTGTAAACTGTATGCTGAAAGTTGGACATTTCTGGGTTTCTGTTGGGACTGGTTTAAACTGGATGAAGCCCCCCTCCCCCTTTTTTTTTCCAACCAGTGTCATTTATTCCTAAATTTATCACATTTGGGATGGTGTCTTCTTCTTCTGCCTTTCTATCCCCCAATGGAGCATAGGCCCTCAACCAACTCACGCCAAGTCGTTCTATCCTTTGCCATTGCATGGAGCTCTCCTATGTCCTAAGGTGGTGTAGGATAGGGGATCTTCTTAAAATCCATGCCGTGTGGAGTTGGTGGTCATGTCTATCCACAACCTTTTGTCTCGTGTACTTTCAGTCAACTCTGATACAGATGATCTTCCATACCGTGTGGAGTTGGTAGTCATGTCTATCCACAACCTTCTGTCTCGTGTACTTTTAGTCAACTCTGATACAGATGATCTTCCATACCGTGTGGAGTTGGTAGTCATGTCTCTCCACAACCTTTTGTCTCGTGTACTTTCAGTCAACTCTGATACAGATGATCTTCCATACCGTGTGGAGTTGGTAGTCATGTCTATCCACAACCTTCTGTCTCGTGTACTTTTTTTTTGTTTTGTTTAGCTTTTGTGGGGTGAATGTGTTGAGATCAGTTGTAATGATGTTTTGTCTGGAATTTTCTTGATGCATTTAAATATCCTTTATTTCTTCCTAGCTTCTCTCTTGAAGTTTGTTGCCCATTTTTTAATCTTTCTTGGTGAAACATCACTTTAAAATATGGAACTATGATTATAATTTGCGACCATTTCTAAGAATCTAAAGCATTGTTAACTTTTGCCATAAATGATAAAACTGTTACTGCTTTTTCTCAGCTGAAGTTGGAACCAGTTAACATTACAGCCACTGCCTACAAGCTGGGTTCCTTTCTGAACAAGGTAATTGAATTTGCTTCACATTATAAATTGTCTTTGTCCTCGGCTTAGATGTTGTGAACCTGCTTTATAATTCCAGAATACCTGGTTGGAATCCACCTGCAGAAGATTTTCAGAAGAACACTTTGTGCTGATTTTGACAGTGGTTTGGTGTAACACACATGCATACAAAAACAAGAATACAGAAACAAGAATACAGAAACAAGAATACAAAAACAAGAATACAAAAACAAGAATACAGAAACAAGAATACAGAAACAAGAAAACAGAAACAAGAATACAAAAACAAGAATACAAAAACAAGAATACAGAAACAAGAATACAGAAACAAGAATACAGAAACAAGAATACAGAAACAAGAATACAGAAACAAGAATACAAAAACAAGAATACAGAAACAAGAATACAAAAACAAGAATACAGAAATAAGAATACAGAAACAAGAATACTGAAACAAGAATACTGAAACAAGAATACTGAAACAAGAATACTGAAACAAAAATACAAAAACAAGAATACAAAAACAAGAATACAGAAACAAGAATACAGAAACAAGAATACAGAAACAAGAATACAGAAACAAGAAACAAGAATACAGAAACAAGAATACAAAAACAAGAATACGGAAACAAGAATACAAAAACAAAAATACAGAAACAAGAATACAGAAACAAGAATACAAAAACAAGAATACAGAAACAAGAATACAGAAACAAGAATACAGAAACAAGAATACAGAAACAAGAAAACAAAAACAAGAAAACAAAAACAAGAATACAAAAACAAGAATACAGAAACAAGAATACAGAAACAAGAATACAGAAACAAGAATACAGAAACAAGAATACAGAAACAAGAATACAGAAACAAGAATACAGAAACAAGAATACAGAAACAAGAATACAGAAACAAGAATATAGAAACAAGAATACAGAAACAAGAATACAGAAACAAGAATACAGAAACAAGAATACAGAAACAAGAATACAGAAACAAGAATACAGAAACAAAAATACAGAAACAAGAATACAGAAACAAGAATACAGAAACAAGAATACAGAAACAAGAATACAGAAACAAGAATACAGAAACAAGAATACAGAAACAAGAATACAGAAACAAGAATACAGAAACAAGAATACAGAAACAAGAATACAGAAACAAGAATACAGAAACAAGAATACAGAAACAAGAATACAGAAACAAGAATACAGAAACAAGAATACTGAAACAAGAATACAGAATCAAGAATACAGAATCAAGAATACAGAAACAAGAATACAGAAACAAGAATACAGAAACAAGAATACAGAAACAAGAATACAGAAACAAGAATACAGAAACAAGAATACAGAAACAAGAATACAGAAACAAGAATACAGAAACAAGAATACAGAAACAAGAATACAGAAACAAGAATACAGAATCAAGAATACAGAAACAAGAATACAGAAACAAGAATACAGAAACAAGAATACAGAATCAAGAATACAGAAACAAGAATACAGAAACAAGAATACAGAAACAAGAATACATAAACAAGAATACAGAAACAAGAATACAGAAACAAGAATACAGAAACAAGAATACAGAAACAAGAATACAGAAACAAGAATACAGAAACAAGAATACAGAAACAAGAATACAGAAACAAGAATACAGAAACAAGAATACAGAAACAAGAATACAGAAACAAGAATACAGAAACAAGAATACAGAAACAAGAATACAGAAACAAGAATACAAAAACAAGAATACTGAACATAAAATTGTCTAGTAAAACCAAACAGCCCAACAAGTATGCTGGAGTTGGTTTTGCAACACATCATGTAACTCATTCAGTCCGAGGGGGTTTAACATCAGAGGCCCAAGTGGTAGTGAAGAAAGATGTAAAATTGGCGCATGTTGTGTTTATTGGGCTTCTGGGTAGGAACCTATGAACATTGGATGCCTTTGTTGGGACTGAAGGGGTTAAAGGGTAAAACTAACCTTTAATTTGTTTAAATTTAAAAACAAAAAATTATTATTCTAATTTTAGGACGTTGTTGTTTGTTGTTGAACCATATGGATTCAATCTCTTCACTATTATATATTAAGCACAAATCTACCCAAATTGGACAGCAGTTTATATCATAACTGTACGGTGCCCAAATATAAATGTTTTATAGTGTGTTACAGGTTTAGTAAAGTACAGTGTTTTCCCCAAATTAAGCACTACCCCAAAAACGATCCCAAATACAATTTTTCATGATGCTTTTAATATAACCCCTATCCTAGTTGAGGTCATCAGGTAGAATAAGAGACTTGTTTCTGATTGGCCAGTCAGAGTGCAGACGCCACTGGTGAATGGAGAGACACCTGCATGGACACATTGTGAAGCCTAGTATGCAGGAGGTCGTGACTTTGGTGAAGAATTCATGCGATAAAATCACTAGCAGCTGTATTACCAATGTACTACAAGTAGGTCACATGGGCAAGAAATGCTCAATTAAGGGAAGGTTTATTGCTGAACATGAGAGACTGGGCCAGTGTTTCTACAGGAAATGGAGTCACAAGAAATTCAGGCTGGAGTTCAGGATTTGGAGAGTTATGACGATGTTCCAGAAGACAAGAGGACTGTATTAAACAAATATAGACATTTTGAACATGAATAAATGTAGATTGTATTTGAAAACAATGGCCCCCCCCCCCCCCCCACCCCCGCCCTAGTGCATTTTTACTGCAAAAATTAATGTAAGACTGTCTTATTTTTGGGGAAACATTAAAGTAGTAAAATGGACACTTTTCAGGCTGTAAGCACATTGGTCTTATACCTATACTTTTATTAACCCTTTTGCTGCTACGTTCCTTGCTGTAGATGTCTGCCCTGTGCTAAGCAATCTGGAAAAAAAAGGTCCTTCCTGTGCGCAATACTTTTCTACCCCCCAAATGCGTCGGTGTGTTGGTGTTGAGGGCTATATTTTGTACACCTAAAAATATTCCCCTTAGGAAGGTGTGTGGTTGGCCCGAGTGTTGACAAGTCAGACGCTCGATGGCGACACCAAGATACCTTGTCTTCACAGCAAGTAACCACTAGAAATTAGATTAATAACCTGGCTTCGCTAGGGATAGTGAAGAAAAAAAATGTATCTATTTCATCGTTGTTTCCACCACTGCCGTATATGTAGTAGAAACGCCACCGAGGTTTTCACAAACTTTCATCCCACAAACTTGACCAAGAAGCTACGGAGAATGTCGGATGACTGAGAGGTAAAAACTGTGTACACAAGGGAACTACATGGTCGTAGACCACGAGGCAGACCAAGAAGATGATGGAGAGATAATGCCCACACAGACCTTCAAACACTTGGTGTCACCAACTGGAAAGAGGAGGCCAACCAAAGAGGTGAATGGAGGTGGGTGATATCTGCAGCAATGAATCTCAAGGCCTCAAAATGCTGAAGAAGAAGATCATTCACATGGTAACTTTTCATGCTGAATTTATCATACACATGGTAACTTTTCATGCTGTATTCATCATTCACATGGTAACTTTTCATGCTGTATTCATCATTCACATGGTAACTTTTCATGCTGTATTCATCATTCACATGGTAACTTTTCATGCTGTATTCATCATTCACATGGTAACTTTTCATGCTGTATTCATCATTCACATGGTAACTTTTCATGCTGTATTCATCATTCACATGGTAACTTTTCATGCTGTATTCATCATTCACATGAGAACTTTTCATGCTGTATTCATCATTCACTTGAGAACTTTTCATGCTGTATTCATCATTCACATGGTAACTTTTCATGCTGTATTCATCATTCACATGGTAACTTTTCATGCTGTATTCATCATTCACATGAGAACTTTTCATGCTGTATTCATCATTCACTTGAGAACTTTTCATGCTGTATTCATCATTCACATGGTAACTTTTCATGCTGTATTGCTGTATCTGATCTGTGTTATTTCCAGGCCGAGCGCTTCATGAAGTTCCAGAGGGAGCTAGAAGAGATAGCCCAGCTGATCTCGCTTCTGCCATTTGATGATAATGCCACTGAGATCATCAACGCTACCATCACCACACCACCCACTGTCAACAGCACAGATTCAGATGCTGACCATGAACATGTATGTTTTGGGGCAGCAATGTCTTATATGTGTGGGAGAGTGCTGTCTCATATTTACGATTGATTACAATCTCATATTTCCTTGACATGACTGTCTCATACGTACCTGAGAATTACTGTCTCATATCTTATATGTCTCCTTCTTTTCTTCTTTTCTCTATTCCTGGAATCCCTCATAGCATCAGGATAGGAAGAGATCTCTGAAACGGCCCCTTCTGTTCACTTCATTTAAAGTACTTTTTATTGTCTCTGATATTTCTGTGATCAATCTTCTGTGTGGTCGACCTCTGGCTCTCTTACTGCTGTATCTGTATAGCATTGATCTCTGTGGGGCCATGTCTGAGGCCAATCTTGTTACATGGCCAAACCATCTGATCTGTTGTCTACCTACAGAGTTCAGTATTGGTTCTGTGCCGACTCTCCTCCTGATATCATCGTTCCTTAATCGATCTTTCCTTGTTACACCTAGCAAAGTACGTATCTTATATGTACCTGAGATTAATGTCTATGTGCCTTAGAATTTAGTGGCATATGTACCTAAGATAACTGTTTCTTTTACAACAAATATCGGTATTAAAAAAATCTGGAAACAATTATTAAAATCTTATCAGTCTTATATAAGTAACTTTTTTAATTTTTCGATCTGCAAAACTGTTAATTACATATTTGTAATTGTTAATGGTGTCTGAATATTACTCACATGTAGTTGTTAATGAATCCTGACTATTAAATATTCATAATTTATTTACAAATCCTAAATATTACTATTCGTAATTGTTAATGAATCCCACGTGTTACAAATTTGTAATTGTTAATGACTCCTGTCCCCTCTGTGGCTAAGTCGATGCAAACGCTTCGTAATACCAGGGTGCCAGGTCCAATCCCAGCTGTGGGCCATGCGCTTTGCGTTGGTTTCTACAGTGGTATCAGGGGGCAGATGTCCAGAAAGCAATGGCAAACCACACAAAAGCCAGGGGCTAATGGGGTTGGTTCTGCAACGTGCTGTAAAGGATACGCATCTAACCTTAATGGCTCCTAAAGATGTATGTAATAATCTAGAATATTTTTACACTATAGAGCTCTTCTGGTGATGAAAGAAGAAAGAATAGTGGCTGGATGAAGATGTGGGATATGATGCACAAAACTGTCTGTGGCAAGAAAACCCCCGTACCTCCTACCAAACCACCACCGCACAAACACCGAACAACCCAGAAGACACAGGGTGCCTTAGATGATGGCAGTAGTGATGATAATGCTGATGATGAAGATGCAACAGCTGATGATACCAGTGAAGATGATAAACAGATTGATGCAGGTACTTGTTGATTTAAAAAAAAAATTTGTTTGTGGTTCTTGAAATTAATATTGAAATACCACTGCTTTAGCACTGAAGTTATGTAGAAATTGAATTCTTTTTTGTGTGTGTTAAACCTCACATATTGTATATATGTTTCTTTGTTCCTGGCATGCCAGATTTATTTTCACTTACTAACATTTTCTCCCAGGGAATCCCAGGCCACTGAGACATAATTTTATGGAAAATAAATGAGGTAGCAGGCATGATTTTGACCACTGAGTACCCACTGGTCTTGTCAAGGTACTGGTAGGTGGGAGGGTCTCCATGGTACATAGGTTTTTCAGTTCGGGCTTATTTATATGCAGACTGTTAGTTCCTTGCCTCTCAGGCAGATGCATTCTGACTTTGAAGGGAACACCATAATTAGTCTATTTTTACAATTTGCTTGTCTTCTTCTTCTTCTTCGCGTTCACCAGCTGTACACTCTGGCGGAAAGTTCTGGTTGATCGTCCACTACTGAACTGCAGTCCTGCTCCAGAACCTGAGTGTTGCGTGTGCATCAGTTTTACAGATCTCATTCTCTTGAATACAGACTGTTGGTTCCTTGCCTGTCCGGCAGATGCACTCCGACTTCAAAGGAAGCTCCCCAATTAGTCGACTTTTACGACATGCTTTTGGGGAGGCAGTGGGTCTATTCTTGTTTTCCCCACAATGGGGCCCGGAACCCACATGGGGGAATTTGCTTGTTAATGGGGCAGTTTTTTCCCCCAGAATGGGGCTCCAAATCCACAAGAGGAAGGAGGAGAAAATTAGAGGTGTTTCCTTTGCCTGGGAGGCGAGGCACCAACAGTCTGCTTACACTCAAGCTAGATCTGTATAAGGGATGCTCACACAAAATGTAAGTTCTGGAGTAAGAGCAGAGTCCACAAATAACCAGCACTTTCTGCTGGAGTTTACAGCAGGTGGACACTAAAAAGGCGAAAAAGTAGTTTGGGAAGGAAATTGATGAAAAAGGGAACTGTCCACATCACATCATCATTTTATCAAACATGTCAAATCAGACAAATAACAAAACCAGTCGGCATCACAATATCACAAACACAAATGACAGGTGAACGTTGCTGCAAGAAAGCCTTCGTTAGCACATCATATAATCTACACCATCACATATACGAAAACAAATATACAGAATCACTTAACTTATTATTGGCCAGTAGAGATCACTTCTCTATCTGGCCAGTAGAATGTCTGCCATGTTTGTGACCACCAAAAATAAACACTGCCAGAAAAATCAGCAAACAATAAGGGCAGTTAACTCTAGATATTCAATAAACTATGTTGGATTATAAATCCCCTTGGTGGATTGGCACCTAGAGATGGATGAGACAGTTCTCAAGAGACTTACAGACTTTGTCATTGGAGTGGCTAGATTTAGTGGCCATAACCTCTATTTCGAGGACACTTTGATGATGCTGAGAATTAACCCTTTTAGCACGGGAGGTTTTTCAGAGGTCTAGCCAAAAACACGGAGCATTTTTTCAGTAAATTTGCTTATTACTTTATTTAATTTTTTTGACAGATTTCTGTTATTCTGACTTCCATGAAATCATATATCTATTTGAAGGATATAGATTGAAGTTCATGATTTTCACAATATCGTTAAAATTAATTGATGTATATGCAAATTATCTCATTTGCATATCTAAAAATAGAAAATTAGAATTTGAATTTTCAACTTCAATGCTTGAAACATAAAACTAAAAACAAAATTTTTTTTAATTTGAAATCTTTTTATTGATCTTTGGCCTTTTTGCAAATGTTGTAAGCAATTCAATAGTCAAAAACAGGTATATATATATGAAACAGCAATAATATCTTTAGGTGACATGTGTTTTTCACCATCATTCAGCACAAGAAATGGATGTGCCGGAGTGTCAACACCTTCGGGTACATATACCCTGAGCCATGGTTGGGCTGTGGACTGAACACAACAGCGTCCCCATCTGATTCCCACTATTATTACTAACACTAAATCCCGCATCAGTATCAACAGAATTAGTGTAATCACTTGATTCAAATGTTTAATCAACATCAAGTTTAAGGGCACAAACATACGAGTCAGACATACTTTTAGCGGTTCAGGTCACTATCTAAAAAATTCAACAAAAAATTTCACTTCAATACAAAACACTCGAAAGTCGCCATTTGTAAAGGCTAATACTGGAATTAATATGAATGAATCACTTTCATTGTTTCAAAATAGAAGATTTCTTAGCGGTTCGAGGCGAAACACGATCGGGCCGATAATCGGCCGTTCCGTGTTTTTGGCCAGACATCCGCCGGCCGATAATCGGCCCGTCCGTGCTAAGAGGGTTAAATCCTCATTATGTCATGGCTTGGAATAGTGGAGGCCTAGTGCTACACACTTCAGTGGCTGTGTTTGCTCTTTAACTAGCTTTACGCATGCTGTTGTCTTCTTCTTTTTTTTATTAGCATTCATCGGCTGTAAACTCCAACAAAAGTTCTGGTTCTTCGTCCACTTCTGGACTTTGGTCTTTTTTTTTTTGAGTGCAGATCCGTTATACAGATCTGGCTTATTGATATGCAGATTGTTGGTTCCTTGCCTCTCAGGTGTATGCACTCTGACTTCGCAGGAAACTGCCTTAAATAGTCACCTTTTGCAACATGTTTGGTGAGGGGGCGGGGGTCTAATTCCTCCCACCCCTTTTCCCTATAATGAAGCCCTAGAACCCACACATGCCTTTTATTTAGAATCACAAAGAATTCTAGGAGTCGGTGTCTATGTATAATGTCTGTTCCTCCAGTTACCGTGCCCTTTTGACTGAACGACATAGAAAAACAAAAGTCTGTGTCTATATAAGGTGTCTATATAAGGTGCCTATATAAGGTGTCTATGTAAGGTGTCTATATAAGGTGTCTATATAAGGTGTCTATATAAGGTGTCTATGTAAGGTGTCTATATAAGGTGTCTATATAAGGTGTCTATATAAGGTGTCTATATAAGGTGTCTATATAAGGTGTCTATATAAGGTGTCTATATAAGGTGTCTATATAAGGTGTCTATATAAGGTGTCTGTATAAGGTGTCTATATAAGGTGTCTATATAAGGTGTCTATATAAGGTGTCTATATAAGGTGTCTATATAAGGTGTCTATATAAGGTGTCTATATAAGGTGTCTGTATAAGGTGTCTGTATAAGGTGTCTGTATAAGGTGTCTGTGTAAGGTGTCTATATAAGGTGTCTGTATAAGGTGTCTGTATAAGGTGTCTATGTAAGGTGTCTATGTAAGGTGTCTATATAAGGTGTCTATGTAAGGTGTCTATATAAGGTGTCTATATAAGGTGTCTATGTAAGGTGTCTATGTAAGGTGTCTATATAAGGTGTCTATATAAGGTGTCTATATAAGGTGTCTGTATAAGGTGTCTGTATAAGGTGTCTGTATAAGGTGTCTGTATAAGGTGTCTATGTAAGGTGTCTGTGTAAGGTGTCTGTGTAAGGTGTCTGTATAAGGTGTCTGTATAAGGTGTCTGTATAAGGTGTCTATATAAGGTGTCTGTATAAGGTGTCTATATAAGGTGTCTATATAAGGTGTCTATATAAGGTGTCTATGTAAGGTGTCTATGTAAGGTGTCTATATAAGGTGTCTCTTTTTTGTTTTTTAAGTATCCAGAAGCCAGGAGTTGTTAACCCTTAGGCTCGGTATTATGGATATCACAACCCTTCAGCCTTGATTCCGTGATAAATACTGTAAATCTGGGAAAAATTTGGTTTTTTTTTGCCTACCCCCGGGCGTGAACCTGGACCACAAGGAGTTCTTCACCCGTTCACCACGTAATCCGGTTTAGCCAACTACGCTAGTGAGCCAGGCATAAGGTGTCTATAAAATGTTTATTTCTTAGATGCACTTGGGATGACCCAAGCCCAGAGGGACAAACTGTCAATCATCCAGCACTACCTCTACTACAATCCCACAGTCCTGTATGCTCCAAATGGAACAGCAGCTGATAAAATCATTCAGAAGGTAAGGAAAACTTTTATAAGGTAGGGAAAAATTTATAAGGTAAGGGAAACATTAATGAGGTAAGTGAAACATTTATAAGGTAAGAAAAACATTTATTTTGTAAAGAAAACATTTATAAGGTAAGAGAAACATTTATAAGGTGAGGAAAACATTTATGAGGTAAGGAAAACTTTTTTTATATAAACAGATTTATACTTTCCTGAGGCCTCCGAAAGGTGGTTTTACAGAAGAATCCTTAGAATTTCTTGGACAGCAAAAAAAAAAAAAAAATGGCAACCGAGATATTTTGAAAGAGGTGAGGGTTCGAAGAAAAACTTATCACAAACATCAGAAAGAGACAGTTGTCATTATTTTGGTAATGTTGTGAGAAGAATGAAACTAGAACATGTTGTGATCACTGGAAGGATCTGTGGAAAAAGATATTGAGGAAGACAAAACGAGAAGATTCTTTATAGAATTTTGCCATAGCATGAAAGGATGTCAGTACATGTAAGGTACACGATGTTGAAGATCTCAGATTTCAGAGAGGTTTTGATCGCTGTAAACTTCTGCAGAAAGTTATGGGTGTTTATCCACCTCTGAACTTTAGACTTCTTCCAGAACCTACTTCACAGATCTGGCTTATTTATATGCAGACTGTTGGATCCTTGCCTCTCAGGCAGACGTGCACTGACTTGGAAGGATGCACCCAGTTAGGCTACTCCTTCGACATAGGTCTTTTCTTTTTCCTGCTAAAGTGATGCTCAGGAATCCACACAGGAAGAAAACAAATTGAACATTTATATTTTTATTTTTTCAGGCCAACACTACGGTTGCATTTATTGACCTAATCAGCAGTTATGCCAGGGAATGGTTGAACATATCTCAACGTCTGCATGCCTACCTTGAAAAGGACAAGACAGAGCATAACCTTGAAATGATGAGAAAGGTGAGTGACGGAACTCTTCTGTGGAAAATGTTTATGTAACTTCTCAAGTAATTTAATTACAGACAAATAAAATAAGTGTGGAAATTAGTTGTTGATGCCCCCATATTCATTTTTTGTAATAAACCAACTGATTTCCAAAATGCATTGTATAAAAGGCGATTAAATAGGGGTTTTTGCTGAAATCAGATGTGTGGAAACAGCTTCTCAACATGACGTAGGTAGCCAGTACTATAGACACCCAGTGTGTATAAGTTAGTATAGTAAGCCATCATCTGAAGCTGTACCACCCGTGGAACTGATGACCTCCATGTGAACATTGTATCTCCCACAGATGCAACAAGACATCAGAGATCACAGCAGCATCCTGTCCTGGTTATTTCAGCTCAATAACCTGACTTCGTTTCTTGATGCAGAGATCCACACAAGCGAATATTATACGCATGAACTTAACCTCATCGATGCTGCTGCCAGTGGCTGGTTGCGTATGATGAAAGGTGAATTTGTGATATGTGAATTTTTTTTCAAACTTTTCTTTATTGGCAGTTACAGTAATAAAGTTATGTCTCTAATATGTCAGTTAGAGATTCTCTCGCTTTGTAATAATGTTTTTGTTTAGAAATTAGAAATTTATTTTTTAGATCTGTCGCCTCTTATCCTAGGAAAACGTTGGCGACCATTGGCTTGTCGGTAGATGACTTTGTCGCCAGTCAGGACAGTATTTGGATCTGTCTCCTTTGATCGCATCAGCAGTGCAAGAGTTCCTTTCAGGGTTCTTGCTGGCAGGCAGTGCCAAGTCCTCTTATATGGCACACATCTTCGTGTGGGTTCTGGCAGCCACAATGTGGGGAAAACAAAATAGACTCCCTGCCTTCCCAAAAGCATGCTGTAGGAGTCAACTAATTGGCAGCTTTCTTCAAAGTCGGAGTGCATTTGCCTGAGAGGCAAGGAACCAACAGTCTGCATTCAAATAATCAGATCTGTTTAACAAAGATACACGCAACATTCAGGTTTTGGAACAAGACTAAAGTTCTGAGGTAGATGAATAACCAGAACTTTCCACTGGAGTTTACAGTCGGTGAACGTGAAGAAGATATGGCGCACATAACCTAGTCACAGTTATAACCTTAAGCTCCCCCTTCGGGGATGCTGGTTGAACTTGACAATTAAAAATTTTTTTTTAATTAAAAAGTGATGATGATAATGACCAGGAAAAAACCCCAATGCACAATGACCCATTATTGTAGAATTCCTGAAAAAAAAAAAAACAACAACAACAAAAGAACAACAGCCCCATTTGAGACAGGTCACCAGGAAATTCTTAATTGTTCCATTTATGAACCGAAACAATGTTAAATTCCCTGCAGCATATGGGGAGTCATCAATAAATGCAAATGCAGCAGAGAATTAACTGGGTCACATCTTTATGAGTCTGAAAATAAGAGTTTTTGGTGACTCATTTTTTTAACCAGTGATCCGGTTGCAGATTTATTCCGTGACCAGCGGGAAAAATTCTGAAGGCTGGGAAAAAGAGCCTTTACTTTACTTTTTGAATGGGAAAACTACGACTTCAGAAAGAGGTTGAAGGCCACTGTTGCAGCAGGTCCTTTGCAGAATGTCGCTGTCGTCAAGGTCTGCCTGAAAGAAACCCGGTTTCTCACCAGCTCTCTCGCCTTATGCATTTTCATATCCAAGGAGTCACTTATATCCTGTACCCATCTTGATGCTGGTCGACCGCTGCCCCTTAAAAGAAAAACAAAAAAACTTAATCATAAATGAAATGAAAGACAATGCAGTGAAGTCGGTATTTTTACCTTTAGTCACTTTCCCCCTGATAATTTATTTGGTTTTGCAGCTAATTTTCTGTGGGATGATAAAGTCAGTGCCATGCCAAGCCACCTTAATTGTCTTAACATGTCAAATTGGGCCCATATCAACCAAAATTAAAATTATAAAGTTCTGCCACTCTTGTAACATTTTTCAAAGTATTGTCATCCTTGCTTTTGTTTCTTAGATTTTGTGTTTGGATAACTTGATGTAGTTTTTTTCTTTCAGGAATTAACTTGAACATTTTCCGGGGGTTCGCCACAGAGGAGGACATGTTGAATTACTTTCTAACACAAGCATACTACGATAATGCCAGTATTATTGCAGGTAATTTTTTACATTTCAATGTATTTTTGCCTTTTGGTCTTTCTGTGCACACTGTATACCTATCCCCTAAATTTGTCATCTAGTATAAGAGCGAACTTGTCTTTTTGATATTTCTTGTGGCTGTTGTTGAACCAATTCATATTTTCCCCACAGGTGTTAAACCAACTTATATTTTCCCACAGGTGTTAAACCAGTTTATATTTTCCCACATGTGTTAAACCAATTCATATTTTCCCATATGTGTTAAACCAATTAATATTTTCCCCACAGGTGTTAAACCAATTCATATTTTCCCACAGGTGTTAAACCAACTTATATTTTCCCACAGGTGTTAAACCAGTTTATATTTTCCCACATGTGTTAAACCAATTCATATTTTCCCATATGTGTTAAACCAATCATATTTTCCCGCATGTGTTAAACCAATTCATATTTCCCCCACAGGCTTTAAACCAGTTCATATTTTCCCACACGTGTTAAACCAATTCATTTTTTCCCACAGGTGTTGTATTCCAGGATCTTCCAGATGATGGAACCATCCCCCCACATCTTCATTACAAGATCCGTCAAAACGCCACTTACCTTCCTTCAACCAAGCAAGTCCGCAAACCCACATGGGTCCCTGGACCAGGGCAAAACTTTTATCCATACTACCAGTTTGGCTTTGTCTGGGTTCAGGTAGGTAGTAAAGTTAATGTGGAATCACTGAGTTAGCATTTTATCTTCATCATCATATCCCATGCTAATGAGAATTGGCTATTACTGTTCTTGTCTTTTCATCCATTTCTCTCATGGAGGTATAAGGGAGAGATTGAAGGATCTTCTGCAGTCTCTTTCTTATGCTTGGCATGTTCCATTATGTCTTTTCTACAGTCACAATATAATAAAATAAAGCATATAAGTGAGTTGAGTTGAGTCAAGGATTGACATCTCATCACTCGGGGCATTCAGATGCATGCTCTATTCTCATCTTCAGCAGCCAGTGCAGAGTTCCAATACTGATGGTACCAGTCATAATCTGGTTATATGTCTGTCTGTCCTTTCCTGTGAGTGTAGTGACCTGGCCAGACCCTCTGGTTACACCCAGGTGCCTCATTCTCTGCAGGCCATAATAATCTTCTTTCTCTACTGATTCCGTTGCTTGTTCCCAAGGGCCTTGACCAGATCTGCCTTGTACAAATAAGTGAATCTTCTACAACTGAAGTACACGTTTAACCGCTCTCAAAATCAACTGCTTGTTTTACCAGAATGAGCGCAGGTTCTTTGCTTACATAGTTCTGGATGGAAGTAGTGAACAGTAGTTACTTCAAGAGATATAAGCACCCTGCCATTGGTCCAAGTGTGAAGAATAAGAAATGCGCTATTCTTGTTTACAGCATGTTGAAAAGGAGTTCAAAAAGTGGCATGCAATGGACTACATATAGTCTTTCTGGTCAATCACCTAGGCCACGTTTGTTGAATTATTATTGTTTTTGTTATCTTAATTTATTTGTATTTCACTTTGTATTTTCAGCCCATTCTGTAATCTGCTCAGCTACTCATTTCTCCAGTCATTGATCAGTTCTGCCCCCATAAGCAGCTTTGCTGCAGTATTTAAATTGGTAGATGCTGTTTGATAAGATGTTCATCGGCAAAGGTTGTTTCATGGGTGAAGCTGATGTGGGGATAGAACCAAGTGGGGAAAATGCGCCCAAGTCATCCATTTTTAAATAAGTGCCAGAATCAACAGTTTTTACCTGGGAGGTTAACCCGGTCAACAAATGCTTGGTGAAGTCAGATGTGTTGGCCAAAAGGTGCATATATCACAGCCTTGCTGTAAACAGGCACAACAGTTACCTCACTTAAACGAACAAAAAGAAAAATAACACATTTTTATCAGTCTCCTAGGTGTTGTGAACATGATTCGTAATGCCGGAGTGCCGGGTTTGATCCCAGCTGTAGGTGATTTGGCAGCAGACGGTCTTGCGTTAGTTTCGACAGTGGTATTGAGAGTCAGCTAATTATTGAACGTAAATTTACCCAGAAAAAAATTAATTCTTTGGTTGGTTTTGCAATATCTTCTAAAAAAGTTAACCTAAACTACAAATTTCGACATAAATGTCTAAGTCGTCCATGTTTTCCTGCTGTTTATTTGTTAAAAATCTTGTTCGCCAGGACATGATAGAGAGAGCCATCATTGACCTCCAGGTTGGAAGGGACGTGGTGGAGCCAGGGTCATACATTCAGCAGTTTCCTTACCCTTGTTATGTCTGGGACCAGTATGTTTGTTTCTGTTCTTATTTGCTTATTTTTATATAAACATTATGTTTTTCCATAGTCCTTTTGAATTGAGTTGATTAAAGTAGAAAGATCTTTCCACCGGGGACATTTCCATAAGAGATCCATTCTTATCTTCAGCAGCCACGCAGAGTTCCATTCCAATGATACTACTGGCAGTCTGATTGCATATCTGTCTTGCCTTTGACCTGAATGTTGAGTGTCAGCCAGATTCTCTGGCCATTTCCCACTGCACCATTTTCTTTAGGCAATGATGATCTGTTTGTACCTCTTCACCGTTCAGCTCTCCCAGATGGTCATGGCAATATCTAATTTTTCATGCATCAATTTACCACCAAGTCCTTAACTCTTTCAGTCCCGTAACTGTGTTAAGGTTGGCTAGATTCTTTTCGGAGACGCAAAAAGTGAAATTTAAGTAGCCTGCCAGTGACTCGTAGAGCACCTAGGTCAACCCCACATCCTCGTGGTGGCATTTTAATCAAAACCTGATAAAAAAATATTTGCGGTGTATATCTAATTTATCTAGTCTTGTCTTCTTCTTCTCCTTCGCGCTCACCGGCTGTAAACTCTGGTGGAATATTCTGGTTGTTCGTCCATTTCTGAATTTTAGTCTTGCTCCAGAACTTGAGTTTTGCATGCACATCCATTGTACCGATCTGTATGCAGACCGTTGGCTCCTGATTTCTCAGGCACTCTGGCTTCGAAGGAAACATCCCTATTTAGTCACATTGTATGATATGCTTGTTAGTGGATCTATTCTCCCCCCCCCCCCCCACCCCCACCAACCCCTTCCTATTGGGGCTTGGGAACCCACAGGGGAAGATATCATCAGCGAGACAAGTTTATTCATTTCTCAAGCAGACGCACTCTTGCTTCAAAGGAAAACACCTCTTTTAGTCACCTTGTATGATATGCTTGTTAGGGGGGTCAGTGGATCTGTTCTCTCCTCCTCTCCTTCCCCCCCCCCCCCCCCCCCCCCCCCCCCCCCCCCCCCCACATATTTGTGCTCGAGAACCCACAGGGGAAGATGTAATCAGCAAGACAACCTTTATTAATTTCTCTGTTATCCATGGTGCTCTTTTGGAACTTTCTTCAGACACCTGCCTCTTCTAGCCACATTTAATTAAGTGCCTTTTAAATTAAATAGTTGATCAGTAAATTTGATGATTGTAACATTTATTTTGATAAAACATTTTTATGATGCGCATGACCTCAGTATCTTTATCTAAATAAGTGGTCCCAGTTAGATAAGACCTGTGGATGCCTCTTATTTTTCAAAGGCCCTTCATGGATCCATACTTTAAAGAAAAAATGCTCCACATATTTATATTTTAAAAAGGACATCTATATTAGAATTGCAAAATTAAATCATTTCTTGATTTATATTTGAAAGTGAAATATTCTTTATTACTTCTGACTAAATTATGTTTATTATTATAAAATCTTAATTACAATTTTGACGAATTTATGTTTGATTATAACATCTTTATTACAACTTCATTATCATTTTTTAATTTTATGGTAACAACCTCATCACTGTCTCTAGTGGATCTATGTTTGATGGCAACATCTTTTTCACAATATGAAGCAGATTAGGTTTGATTTTAATCTCTTTATCACAATCTCATCCATTTTTACATTTCATAGTAACATCTTTATCACAATCTCTGGAGAATTTATGTTTGATGGTAACATATTTATAACAGCCTCATATATATTTGTGTGTAAAACATCTTTATCATCATCTCTGACAGATTTATGTTTATGATTGAGCACGTGATGCCCCTGTGTCTGACGTTCAGTTGGGTTTATTCAGTGGCTATGTTGGTGCAGAGCATTGTCTACGAGAAGGAGCAACGGCTGAAGGAGGTAACCACACTACAAAAATGTCTACTCAAGCCAGAAGTACTTTTAGTGATCTTTATGTTAGACTTATTAATATTAGAAATATTATAAATTTATAACTAAAATATAAGGCATATTATAAGAAGTACTTTTAATAGAAATAGTTTCAAGCGTTGTTAAGAATATTGGTGCTAAAAGTACTAATATTTTAAAAAAAAATTTTGTTTTTAAATTTTAGAAATACTTAGTAGATATAGATGGTAGAAATAAACTATAGAAATATAATAGACAACAGATCAGATGGTTTGGCCATGGAACAAGATTGGCAACAGACAAGGCTCCACAGATACCGATATAGCAGTTACACAGATGCAGCAGTAACAAAGCCATAGGTCGACCATGCAGAAGATGGACTTTGGAAATGTTGGAAACACTGAAAAGTAGTATATACAAAGTAAACAGAAAGGCCCGTTCCAGAGATTTGTCCGAACACTGCAGCGAGACATTCCTGGAGTAGAGAAAAGACTAAGAAGAAATACTTTTATTGGTAAAATTACTTCTGCTGATCAAGAAGGTCACGGGTTCAAATCCGCATTGATCCAGATTATTTAAGAAACTGATCTGGTCTCCCAGGTCAAGCTAACCTTTAATGGGTACCAGGTAAAGTCACGGGAAGTAAAGACAGCTAGCATGATGTTGACATGCCGACTGATCTAACAGTATAGGTCTAGCACTATTATTCCTCTTCTTCTTCTTCTTCAGCGTCCCGAGTCCTTGAGGTTCATTGCTGCAGATATCACCCGCCTCCATTCATCTCTCTGGTTGGCCTTCTCTTTCCAGTTGGTGACACCAAGTGTTTGTAGGTCTGCCTAGATTATCTCTCTATGGTCTCTTTGGTCTGCCTCATGGTCTACGACCATTAATCTCCCTTGTGTATATAGTTTTTACTTCTCTGACATCTGTCATTCTCTCAATATGTCCCAACTATTTTTGTTTATTAGCTCTCATGATGCCAGTGATGAAAGGTGATATAAATAGATTATGAATTTTGTTGTTGATTCTCACTCTCAATTCCCTGCTGTATGCATCTTTGATAGATCCAAAGATTGGTCGTAAGACCAAGGTTTTCAAAAACCTGTAATAAGGCTTCATCTCTTTTAGTTGTGCTCCAAATTTCATAGTCATATAAAATGACACTATTATGCCCAGTAAAAAAAAAGGTAACAGAAAAGGATCCTTTTCTTTACTGTTATATGTTAATGATCAATATTTCTTATTAATGTCTGCCTTTTTTAGCCCCTTTTTTTTCTGTATTTTATAATTTTTTTGGGTTTTGTAAATGCTTGTTATTCTATCAAATTTTTTCTTTTTTCTAATATTCCAAAGTTTGCAATGTTCCATGTTTTCTAATGTTCCAGATTTTGTATTGTTCCAAGGTTTGACAATTTTCAAATTTGTTATTGTTCCCCCTGTCATAATTGTTCCACTTTTATGATATCCCACATTGCCAGGTGATGAAAATGATGGGTCTGAGCAATGCGGTGCATTGGTGTGCCTGGTTTGTCACCACGTTTTCCCATATGACCATCTCTGTGGTGTTGCTGTCTGTTCTACTCAAGATGGGAAATGTCCTGCCACACAGCGACTTTTTCATCATTTTTCTAGTCATGGAGATTTACATTTGTGCCATCATCTCATTTTCGTAAGTATCAGTGGCATTCAAGATGTTAATTCATTGACTATTTTGTTAAGCTTGTGAAACATTGGTTTATTGGTCACTTTTTCTAAAACATATTTTTATTGGTTAATTTGTTTTGTGAAGCTCCCTATGTGGTTTCCTATGTCCCATTGGGGGGGGAGGGGGGGGAGAGGGGTGGGGGATCTGCCTGTCAACAGTCTGCATACAGATAAGCCAAAACTCAAATTCTGGAACTAGACCAAAGTCCAGAAGTGGATGAACAGCCAGAACTTTCTTCTCGAGCTGACAGCAAGGGAACGCAAATACGAAGATAAAGACCTGTTATGATTTATTGTTTGATTGTTAATATCTTTAATGTATTTTCTTACAGTTTTCTGATCAGCGTGCTGTATTCCAAGGCCAAGGTTGCAGCCGCCTGTGCAGGAATTATCTACTTCCTGTCCTATGTACCATATATGTATATTGCCATTAAAGAGGACATTGCCGGCGACAATATCTCAGGAGTGTGGAAAACTCTGGCAGTAAGTAATTGTTGAAATTCAGTAAATCAAGAGTTGAGGAAAAGACACTGATGTTGGATAGGGCACACTGAGAAAACCCGATAGCAGTAAAACTATACTGTACCTTTACTAGAAGAGCTGCAGGGGTTGGGGAAGGATAAGAGGACAAGGCTTCATTGAGGGATAAAGGGAAGAAGAAGAAGAAGAATTCTGCAAATGTTTCTACGTTTGCATCAGTGAACTGGGTGTGCTCAAATGCTTGGCACTGCAGCCAACAGTGTTACAGTTGGCTTGCTTCTCTTCTGAGAGGTGACAAGGAAATTAAGTAGCCTGCCAATGACCCATAGAGCACCCAGGGCATCCTCATCTCCTTATGATGCACGTGGGAAAACTGAAGCCACGAGGTTTCAGGCTAATGGGATAATAGCTCACCTGGGAGAAGACGAGCACTAACCATGTAACTGTTTCTTTTCCCAACACGTGGTGGTCCCAGCAAGCCGGCAGTGGTGTAGTCAACTGCTGCTACACAAGAAAGAATGAATTATAGGACATGCTTAGACACCCAAATGTCTCCCTTCCTGCAAAACAGCAAATGATTAATAGCAGCTTCATCCCTACTTTATGCTTTCAATGCTAAACATGGACATTGAGTAGGGCACTAGACAGAAAATTTGAAAGGCACTGTCTCCACAAGGTCACTAACAACACAAGAAAGGGCATTGTTATGAACAGCAACATTTGAGAGGAAGTTGTAGTACGACCATGTCTTAATTATCTTGAAAAATTTGTAAATTAACTGTCTTTTTTATTTTTTTAGTCCCTGTTCTCAACTACTGCATTTGGTCTGGGGGCCAAGTACTTTGCTTTCTACGAGGAGATGGGCGTCGGGGTGCAGTGGACCAACATTTACATCTCGCCAGCGGAACATGATGAGTTCAACCTGTTCCTGGTCACCTTGATGATGGTGATCGATTGCTTCATCTATGGCGTCCTCGTCTGGTATATCGAGCATGTACATCCAGGTATGCCAGATTGTAATGTTGTTATTTTGTTGCTATTGTCGGGTAAAGTCAAGTCAGGGGCCTGTATTTTATAGACCAGTTCGCATTTGGTGCGTGATGGCGATGTGGTCAACATCACACGGACTGCCTTCACTTCCCAGCATTTTACCTGGTACCCATTTAACTCTTTGAGTCCCAAACAGTGATTAATGTGTGAATCAAAACAAACATTTAAGAAATCTGGCTAGTGCAGTGATCACTACTATTTTATGCCACTTTGAAAGTTAAGTCATTGACACATTTTTATTAGAGATACTTCTTCACTGACATCTCATAAGAAATCTCGTTTTGGTACTCACAGAATTAAGGCTAGGTCGACCTGGAAGCAAAGGTCAATTTTGAAAATAGTTTGCCTCCATCAGTACCTGAACCTACTATCTTTGGATCCACATGTGAGCACCTAGCTACTGCACCACAGTACTTTCCTGTTGCCATGAAGACATTATTACTATGAGAAGATAACAACTGTAGCATCTTGTGGCAGTTGTAAAAGTTTATGTTATATTAGGAACCTAAATCTTTTTGAAAGCTTCATCGGTGGTGTCCTTGTCTGGTATATCCAGCATGTGCATCCAGGTATGCCATATTGCACTGCTGATTTTATGTACGTAAGTTATTGTCATGAGGACATTACTATCAGAAGAGCAAAACTTGACCATACAACAGTAGGGATGGCTTTGTGGGAAGTGATATATATAGAGGTAGATAATGAGGGCAGATTCTTGACTTCAGTTTTCATTTGGGTCTGGAAAATTGAACACTGACATCTAGATGGGCCATTTGAGTTTTATGACATGCTTGTTTGGGGTGCATAGCACCCACTTTGGAAGTTTGATGTATCAAGATATGAAGAAACATTATCACTCATGCCCATTGGCAAGGCACTTGATGATGCTGAATCTATGAAGCGAATCATAATATGTGGTTAATAGTAGAGATTTGGTTCAGTGCCGAACCATGTGGAAAAAGTAAAATACAGGAGACATTTCAAAGCACTTTGTCTTCATGTCTCAGGCTCTTTCAAAACAAACACTACCTGATACTGATATACCACTGAAATCATTATTCTTCCCTTACCTATAAATATTTGGCTAAGTTTAATTAGTTATGCAAAATGAATTATTAATTATTGATTTGCTTTATATGTGACATCACACAATTCTTCACTTTTCCAGGGTCGTATGGTTTGCCGAAACCCTGGTACTTTCCCCTGATGAAGTCATACTGGTGCGGCGGTAACCGGCATGTGGAGCACTGTGGGAACCCATTGACCTGGTGTTTCCGCCGCACCCATGACCATCTCTCAGTCACAGAGGAAGACCAAGCCTGTGCTATGGCTCACCAGAATCCGGGTTAGTATTTGAAACTGTTCATCAGAAATACTTTGTACACCAATGCCTTATTCAGTCTGGTGCTAGAATTAGAACTCTTCAGTAATGAGGTTTTAAGTTTAGAAATGTTAATAAGACTGTGTGCAGCAATGCCTTATTTATTTTAATGCTAGAACATTAGAACTCTTCAGTGATAAATGATTCAGTTTAGAAATATTAATGAGACTGTATGCACCGTTGCCTTATTTAGTCTGGTGTTGGAATGTTAGAACTCTCTGTGATGAGTGATTAAATTTAGAAATGTTCATAAGAGAGTCTTGTTACTGCATTACCTTATTTAGTCTATCATGAAAAGATATGAAACCAAACAAAAAGTAGATCAGCGAACCTACTATAACCAACACGTACGAGAGTGAATGTTGCAACAACAGGGCCGTTTTTAGCACATTACATAAATCAGTAAACCACAGACATGGATAATAAAAATCACTCAACTGATGTATTCCCAATAGCAGCCATTTTATTTTCTGGTCAGTGGAATTAGCCGATTGTTAGTATACGAGAACTCTTCACTGATGAATGTTTAAATTTAGAAATTTTAATAAGAGACTTTGTACTGCATTTCTTTATTTATGTTGGTTTTAGAATAGAACTCTTCAGTGATCAGCGATTAAATTTAGAAATTTTAATCAGAGGCACTTTTATTGTTTTTAAACTGCCTTGCCTTGGATCATCTGCTGTTTGAATGTTATAACTCTTCAGTGATGAGTGATTAAATTTAGAAATGTTAATAGAATTAGAGACTTTGAACTGCATTACCTTATTTAGTCTGGTGTTAGAATATCAGAACTTGTCAATGATAAGTCATTAAATTTGGAAATATTAATCAAAGGCACTTTTTAAAAACATCATTACTTTGTCTGCTTTTAGAATATGAGAACTCTTCAGTGAGGTGTGATTATGTTTAGAACAGTTAATCAGAAAAATAATTAGACACATGGTTAATAGATTGCAGTGGTTTGGCCATATGAAATAGAAAGGTTATTAAATGGAGGTAGACCAAGAAAATTAATGGAGAGATATTATTCTTGTAAACCTACAAACACTTGGAGTCACTAATTAGAAAGAGGTTCATCAAAGAGATGAATGGAGGTAGGTGATATCTGCAGCCGTTAACTTCGAGTGCTCAGAATGCTAAAGAAAAAAATTAAGACACTTTTTAGTTTATTATCCTGTGTAGTCTGGTATCAGAATATTAAAAGTTTACTGTGAATATTAGAAGTGTTATTTAGGTGCACAATTTCTTATTTGTATGTTTTTCATGTCTCTTTGTAATTCATACTGTTAATATCTTTTCTGGGGGTTTTGTTGACAGAACATGCACACAGATTTGAACCAGATCCTGTGCATTTGCCACTTGGTGTATGCATTGATAATTTGACAAAGGTAAAAATACTTTTCCTGTTTGTTTTATTCTGTTTTAACTCTTTGAGTCCCAAGGAATGCATCATATGTTCATAGCTTCCTACTTAGAGGCCCAGTGAGCACAAGAAGTGCCGATTTTACGTCTCTTTTGACTACCTCTTGGGCCTCTGATGCTAAACCCTCTGGGACTCAAAGAGTTAAGATCTTGTAGAGGTTTAGTATTTTTTAAATTTTATTTTAAGAAGTCTTTAGTTTATAAGAATTTTATTGCATTTTTTTTCTTCTTCTTTAGTATTATGAAATGGTCCATGATTCACACCCTTGTGTTGCTGCAGGACAACCCATCAACAGATGTATCCATCCATCTAACTGTCTGTCACTCTGTCTATCTGTTTGTTTCAACATTTTTACTTCCATTTCTTTGCTAGTGTTATGTTATTTAACCTCTACATTTCTAAGAACAATTTCCTTAAAAAAGAAATTACCCCCAAAAAATAAAACAAGAGAAGAAAAACATTCAATATTTTGGCAGCAAACATCTTATAAATGATAACATCAACATCAGTAGCTATACAGAAGCATGAGACTTTTGGTACAATATGGTGGCTAGGCAGGCCTTGAAGTGATTTTGGCTTCTGGTTATGGTTAGCTAACACAGTTTTCATATTTGGGTTGGAGATCATGGTTTTGTTGCTGAAACTACTGAGTTAAATGTTTGGTACAATACCGTGAGCTGTACATTTCCTGTTGAATGCCCTTTGTCATTGCTCACTACAGTTTGTGTCGTCACATTTGATGGCTGGTTTACGTTTAGACCAGTGAAATGCTTTATGCAGTAATATTGTGTGTGTACTGCCAGCTTTTCATGACTGACTACTTCCATCAGTTCTGTCAGTGACTATTGGTGTTGGCACCTTTAACGGCCCCCTTATGCATTTACTGCATGTACATGTTTCTGAAATTTTCCGGGACTTATTATTCGTTTACCAGTTTTTAAATAATGCAATGAATGACATTTTATGTGATTCACATTGGCACAGGAACGGAGCAATTACAATATGACTGTTTTTGAGTGAAGTTGAAACCTCTACAAATCAACAACAACAGCAACAAAAACAACAACAGCTGCTGCTGCTACTTTAAAACTGCTGCTGCTACAGCTACTATTACTACTACTACAACACAGAAACACATATAGTAAAAAAAAAAAAATACATGCACGCACCCATGCACACAAAACATTACATCTTATGAATGAAGAAAGTGGTTATAAATAAATTAGGCAGTTAATCAAAAGCATTTAATCTAAATATGTGCCTTAGAAGAAGGGAAAGATATAAAACCGAATGAAAATTATATCAGTGAGCTTCACAGTATAACAAACACAAACAAAGCGTGAATGTTGCGGCTATGAAGTCTTCTTCAGCACATACATAAATTAGATAATACTACACAAATACACAATATCACTTATCTTGGTATCTCATGGCAGCCAGGTCAATGTCAAGACAATAGTCTGGCGAGGCATCTGGGACCGGGAAACTGTAGGCAATTCAGCCCCCTTAGAAGAAGACAATCTGCCATCTTTGAGCATGCCCTGAGGTAGAGAAAACTGGGGTGTGTCTCGGCAGCTTGAATTTAAAAGGGAAAAAAGCCAGGAAACCACAAGAAAAGATGCTAGAGTCGTAGAGGTGTATCTGTGTCAAGTTTTTTTTCTTTATATAAACATGCTGATTATATTCCTCTAGATTTATAATTGCAAAAAAACTATGATTTTTTTTTCCAGGTTTATAAACTTGGCAAGAAAACAGCAGTCAAAAATCTGAGTCTCAATCTTTATGAAGATCAGATAACTTCATTCCTAGGACATAACGGGGCTGGGAAAACCACAACAATGTAAGTATTTTGCATCACGCATGTTATCATCGTCATCATCATATACCCTGTCACTAATCATAGGCTGTTGTGTTTCACACAATCACCAGTCACAGATCAGGTCAGTGTTTATGTCTTCCCTAATCCATACAGCTTAGCCATCCAGGTATTCATCTCTTTGCCTTCCACTTGCTCTTTTTCCACTTGTGTTGTCAGTTTTTCTCGGCTTAATTTTTCTCTCATAACTAAAGTTTAAAAAAAAATAGGAAAGATCCCTTTTCACGACTTAGGCGCATCAGGCAAATGGAAAGAGCACCCACATTTTTACAGACCAATCGGCACTAGGTGGGTAATGTGGTCAGCATTACGCTGGCCGTCTTTACTTCCACAGAACAACCATCCTTGTACCCAATTTTGGTTGGGTCGACCTTCGACTCCCCAGACAAAAATCCATGCAGCCAGCAGTGGGTTCGTTCGCGGTAATTTGAAATTATGCATCGGACTCACAACGCCTAAGCCACAGACGCCATACATTTTCTTTTCTCATAACGTGTCTGAAATAAAACTAACTGTCTACATATAATTGACATATACTTCACATGATATAATAATTTTTGTTTCGATTCAACCAGATGTTTTATTTTGAACTGCAACTTTCATACTTTTGTGATGAAACGAGTGAAACTTAAACTTTCATAATTTTTTGATGAAATATGTGAAACTAAAACTTTCATAATTTTGCGATGAAATTAGTGAAACTGAAACTTTCATAATTTTGTGATGAAACGAGTTAAACTAAAACTTTTATAATTTTGTGATGAAACGAGTGAAACTTAAACTTTCATAATTTTATGATGAAATGAGTTAAACTGAAACTTTCATAATTTTGTGATGAAACGAGTGAAACTGAAACTTTCATAATTTTGTGATGAAATGAGTTAAACTGAAACTTTCATAATTTTGTGATGAAACAAGTAAAACTGAAACTTTCATAATTTTTTGATGAAATATGTGAAACTAAAACTTTCATAATTTTGCGATGAAATGAGTAAACTGAAACTTTCATAATTTTGTGATGAAATATGTGAAACTGAAACTTTCATAATTTTGTGATGAAACGAGTTAAACTAAAACTTTTATATATTTGTGATGAAACGAGTGAAACTTAAACTTTCATAATTTTATGATGAAATGAGTTAAACTGAAACTTTCATAATTTTGTGATGAAACGAGTGAAACTGAAACTTTCATAATTTTGTGATGAAATGAGTTAAACTGAAACTTTCATAATTTTGTGATGGATTGAGTGAAACTGAAACTTTCATAATTTTGTGATGAAATATGTGAAACTAAAACTTTCATAATTTTGCGATGAAATGAGTAAACTGAAACTTTCATAATTTTGTGATGAAACGAGTGAAACTGAAACTTTCATAATTTTATGATGAAATGAGTTAAACTGAAACTTTCATAATTTTGTGATGGATTGAGTGAAACTGAAACTTTCATAATTTTGTGATGAAATGAGTTAAACTAAAACTTTTATAATTTTGTGATGAAACGAGTGAAACTTAAACTTTCATAGTTTTATGATGAAATGAGTTAAACTGAAACTTTCATAATTTTGTGATGGATTGAGTGAAACTGAAACTTTCATAATTTTGTGATGAAATGAGTTAAACTGAAACTTTCATAATTTTGTGATGAAACAAGTGAAACTGAAACTTTCATAATTTTTTTATGAAATATGTGAAACTAAAACTTTTATAATTTTGTGATGAAACGAGTTAAACTGAAACTTTCATAATTTTGTGATGAAACGAGTTAAAATAAAACTTTTATAATTTTGTGATGAAACGAGTGAAACTAAAACTTTCATAATTTTGTGATGAAATGAGTTAAACTGAAACTTTCATGATTTTGTGATGAAATGAGTGAAACTGAAACTTTCATAATTTTTTGATGAAATATGTGAAACTAAAACTTTCATAATTTTGTGATGAAATGAGTGAAACTGAAACTTTTATAATTTTGTGATGAAACGAGTGAAACTGAAACTTTCATAATTTTTTGTTCAAATATGTGAAACTAAAACTTTCATAATTTTGTGATGAAATGAGTGAAAATGAAACATTCATAATTTTGTGATGAAACGAGAGAAACTGAAACTTTCATTATTTTGTGATGAAACGAGTTAGATAGAAACTGTCATAATTTTATGATGAAACAGGTCAAACTGAAACTTTAATAATTTTGTGATGAAATGAGTTGAACCGAAACTTTCATAATTTTGTGATGAAACGAGTGAAACTGAAACTTTCATAGTTTTGTGATGAAACGAGTGAAACTGAAAGTTTCATAATTTTGTGATGAAACGAGTGAAACTGAAACTTTCATAATTTTGTGATTAAACAAGTGAAACTGAAACTTTCCTAATTTTGTGATGAAATGAGTGAAACTGAAAATTTCATAATTTTGTGATGAAACGAGTGAAACTGAAACTTCCATAATTTTGTGATGAAACGAGTTAAACAGAAACTTTAATAATTTTGTGATGAAACGAGTGAAACTGAAACCTTCATAATTTTGTGATGAAACAAGTTAAACTGAAACTTTCATAATTTTGTGATGAAACGAGTTGAATAGAAACATCAAGGGGTGAATAAGTGAAACTAACGGATATCATGGTCTCTTTTCTTGTCCCCAGGTCAATGATAACCGGGCTGATTCCACCGACCGCTGGCACTGCCTCTGTGTACAACTATGACATCAGAACTGACATGGATGTCATTAGACAGAGTTTGGGCATGTGCCCTCAGCATAATGTGCTTTTTGAGAAGTATGCATTTTTATACATATTTTTGTTTGTTTCTTTAAAACTGAATTAATAATTTTAGTATTTTTTTTAAAGTTTGTCTTTGTTGTACCTGTTTTATTGTTTCTTTAAAAAGTGAATTTCCAATTTTAATATTTTTTCATGAGTATGTTATTGATTTTTACATTTTCTGTTTTATTTTTTCTTTAAAACTGAATTCCTAAGTTTAAGTATTTCTTGAGAAATGTGCTGTTTTGTATGCCTTTTGTTTTAATGTTTCTTTAAAACTGAATTCCTAATTTTAGTGGTTTTTTAGGGGAGAGAAGTATGTCATTTGTCTTTATATTTTGTTTTATTAGTGGTTTTTTTTTTAGAGAAGTTGTCATTTGTCATTATATTTTCTGTTTTACGGTTTCTTTAAAACTGAATTCCTAATGTGAATATTTTTGTTAAAGAAATTTTAAAAAGTTATAGGAAATAAGTAACTAGTATATGGATAAATAGTTAGGAAATAGGTATTTCAGAATGTGCCAGATTTTATAGAAAATGTCAACTTATTATTTTATAGGTTCACTGTTGAAGAGCATTTATGGTTCTACGCCAGTCTGAAAGGCATGAAAGCAGATGCTATTAAAAAGGAAACAGACAGGTAAATTATATTTTGTGTTTTCTTTATTATCAAACTTAGAATATTCAACTCTTATGTTGGGTCAATATGGATCATAAACATGGAAACAGGACATAATAATTGTATTACAAACATTTATTAACTGGTGTCTGAAATGTGGTATGAAGTAAACATCAGAGAAATGGGTCTATGACCGACTGACAGGTTCAGACAACATCTTTTGGATGTGCAGAATGGTGCCCTGAAACCAGTACCGTTATACTTAAATTGCCAGGAACATCAAGGTGTCCATGACGTGGAAATGACAGCCATTAAATCTAGCCACTCCATTGACAGAGTGCGCAAGACTCTTAAAAATCGCTTAATGTTCACTTTGGGCATACTTATGCCCAAAGGACGGAAACACAGTTTCATCTAAAAATCGAGTTGCGGCCCCTGGAATTCCATGGCTATTTATTTCTCGGGCCCCACGTTTTCTTCTCATTCCACTGGCAGGACATCAACATGACTGCTTCTGGACACTCAGTTAAGTGATTCTTTGTATTCGTGTGGTTTTGTTTAATTTACGTATGTGCTGATGAAGGCTCTATAGCCACAACGTTCATGTTTTGTTTGTGGTTATTATATTGTGAAGCTCACTGATCTACTTTTTGTTTGGTTTTATACCTTTCCTTAACTGGTACCTGTACAGAATAAAAGTACATAACCCTTCTCCATGCCCTTAGCCATATTGGGTATTTAGTGCATCACCTTTGCTTACCTCTTCATTCGCTGGTACAAGAAGCACCTCCGTAGTTAAAGCTAAGGGGTCAGATTCTGAAAAGAGAAAGGTCTTGGATAGCACAAGCTGAAGACACAATCAGACACATGCTCAGGCTTGATAAATTTGGGCAAGGAGAGGAGCGGGTCAAGGTGTCAGAACAAGTTTCAGAAGACTCTTGTGTAGGGTTCTAATTACTCTAGGACGTGAGTGCAGAGACTGGCCAGCTACAGAATCAGAAGTTCCACAAATGATTCATGACAATTCCCGCCCAGATGATGTTATTATCTATACAAGTGTCCCTGTCAGTAATTTTGTCATATAGCAATTTTGTCAAACATTTTTAGTACTTCTTTTCTGCATAGGCTCATGTAGCGGCTAGTCACTTGCCTGTGCACCAAAAGGCTGTGGGTTCGTGGGGGTGAAGAATAGACTTGCTTTCTCCTAATAAGCTTGTTATAAGAGATGACTATTTAGGGGTGTTTCCTTGAAAGTCTGTGTGCATCTGCCTGAGATGCCAAGAACCTGCAGTCTGCACACAAATGAGCCAGTTCTCTAAAACAGGTGCAAGCAGAAACCAAAATTCTGGATCAAGGTCAAACACCAGAAGTGGATGGACAACCAGAACTTTCCATCAAGTTTACAGCCAGTGAATGCTAAGAATAAGAAGAAAAAGAAAAGAGGAGGGGATCAGACAAGAGCCCTATGCAGGAAGCCAGAGAAGATGAAGAAAAAGAATGAAAAAACCCAGCCCAGAGCTGGTCCCCCTCCTCCCCCCCCCCCCCCCCCCAAAAAAAAATTACACAGAAAGTTCACCACTGTCCCTTCTGGGGGAAAAAAAAACCTGTTGCGGTCTTCTCAGCAAATTAAATAGCATACAGATCCATTAAATGTATAAGGCAGTTGTAAGAAGTGCCAACACAAACAGTCTGACTCTAGAAATGCAGTTCATCATCGATGAAAGCAGCAGTAACACATATCAGTAGTTGCACACACAATTATTGACATAAGGCAGCACTAGTTCTGTGGCAACAGGCCACTTGTCATTTTTTCAGAATCTGCAGTTCACAATACAAACCACATTGGGCACAGTCGGAAAACATTCCAAATAAAATCTATAGCTCACTGTGTTGTGCCATGCACTCAACTCAGTAGCTAGGTGATAGACCTATCCTTTCAGTCTACAAATGGGGGAAGATGCAACATATTAACTATTGTCACAAGCAAAAACTTGCCACATCTAAACCCAGTAACCTGTCTATCCACCATATTCACTGAAAGGCAAGAAAGTACTATGGAAGAAAAAGGTTAAGTAAAATGCACCTGGCCAATACCAGTAAAATTTCAAATATTGTAATCAAAGTATTCATTTCTTATGTATTTGTTCTGATTGTATCATCCACAGAATGATTGAAGACCTCTGTCTCCCTGACAAGAGGCATGTCCGTGTGGATTGTCTGTCCGGGGGAATGCAGCGCAAACTATCTGTGGCTATTGCTTTTGTTGGAGGGTCAAGGACCGTAATTCTGGATGAACCAACAGCAGGGGTGGATCCATATGCCAGGAGGGCTATTTGGGATTTGTTGGTGAAATTCAAGAAAGGTAAGGGAATCGGTTTTGTGTGTTAATATTTGTGTGTCTGTGTGTGTGTTTATGTGTGAATGTGCTTGTCTCTCTTTCTTGTTCTAAAATTGTTTATGTTCTCTCTCTCTCTCTCTCTTTCTTTCTCTCTCTCCCTCTCTCTCTCTCTCTCACACACACACGTACATATGTACGTTACTTTGTATCAAATATTTAAAGTTTATTCTAACTTTAGGTTATTTTACTTGGGTAAAATCTGTCGACATAGCACATCATGATGATGATGACGATTATGCTTCTTGTGAGTTATTTATCTGTAATTTGTCATTCTGAAACATTCTTCTTCAATCCAGGTCGAACAATCCTGCTGTCCACTCATCACATGGATGAGGCAGACTTTCTGGGCGACAGAATTGCTATCATTTCCAATGGACAGCTCAAATGTGTCGGCTCCTCAGTTTTTCTGAAGAACATGATAGGGGACGGATACCACCTGACCTTCTCCAAGGAGGAGCCTGAAGTCCATGAGGAGGAGCAGGATGATGATGATAACACAGAGGCAGCTGGTGATAATACCCATGAGCAAAGAGGTAAAGCAATGATTGATGTGTGTCATCATCAGAACCATCATCATAATGTGCCCTGCCAACTGGCGGAGGCGCTCATGCATCTCAACAAGATCACAATCCCTGGTTGCCTGGAACAGCTCTCTTGATGATATCCCTCCATGCCATCATTTCAGCCCATCCAGCATCATCTATCTTGATCTGCCTCTACCCCTATTTCCACTGAACTTTCCAGTTGTCACGATGTTTTCCAGTGCCTTTCTTCTCATTACGTGGCCAAAGAACATTGTGTTTGTCTCCTTCTTATTGTTGTATATAGAGATTTACTTTCTTTAGCTTTTTTTAAACAATTATTGTTAGTTACTCTGGCCGTCCAAGGTATTCGTAACATTCATCTCAGAAACCACATCTCTGTTGTTTCTAAATTCCTGTTAATTTATTCACTAACATTCCAAGATTTGCTGCAAAACAGGTTCTATGTAACATTTTAGAACTCTCATCATCATCAGAATATAATATGTAAATTGGGTTGAATTCAAGAGGGGTGAAGACACAAGAGAAATGTCTTAGCAACCACTTATGAAACAGAGAAGATGGCGTGTAATGGGTAGATCCTGAAAAGAAACCAGCAGAGAATTACCATGCAGTCACTTCTTCTTCTTTTGTTGTCTCACTGATACGAGGTTGTAGCCCAGTGTTGTGGTTTTGTCGTCTCACTGATACGAGGTTGTAGCCCAGTGTTGTGGTTTTGTCATTTCACTGATACCAGGTTGTAGCCCAGTGTTGTGGTTTTGTCGTCTCACTGATACCAGGTTGTAGCCCAGTGTTGTGGTTTTGTCGTCTCACTGATACCAGGTTGTAGCCCAGTGTCGTTGTTTTGTCGTCTCACTGATACCAGGTTGTAGCCCAGTGTCGTTGTTTTGTTGTCTCACTGATACCAGGTTGTAGCCCAGTGTTGGGGTTTTATCATCTCACTGATACCAGGTTGTAGCCCAGTGTCGTTGTTTTGTTGTCTCAGTGATACCAGGTTGTAGCCCAGTGTCGTTGTTTTGTCGTCTCACTGATACCAGGTTGTAGCCCAGTGTCGTGGTTTTGTCGTCTCACTGATACCAGGTTGTAGCCCAGTGTCGTTGTTTTGTCGTCTCACTGATACCAGGTTGTAGCCCAGTGTCGTTGTTTTGTCGTCTCACTGATACCAGGTTGTAGCCCAGTGTCGTTGTTTTGTCGTCTCACTGATACCAGGTTGTAGCCCAGTGTCGTTGTTTTGTCGTCTCACTGATACCAGGTTGTAGCCCAGTGTCGTTGTTTTGTCGTCTCACTGATACCAGGTTGTAGCCCAGTGTCATTGTTTTGTCATCTCACTGATACCAGGTTGTAGCCCAGTGTTGTGGTTTTGTCATCTCACTGATACCAGGTTGTGGCACAGTGTTGTGGTTTTGCCATCTCACTGATACCAGGTTGTAGCCCAGGGTTGTGGTTTTGCCGTCTCACTGATACCAGGTTGTAGCCCAGTGTCATTGTTTTGTCGTCTCACTGATACCAGGTTGTAGCCCAGTGTCGTTGTTTTGTCGTCTCACTGATACCAGGTTGTAGCCCAGTGTTGGGGTTTTGTCATCTCACTGATACCAGGTTGTAGCCCAGTGTTGTGGTTTTGTCATCTCACTGATACCAGGTTGTGGCACAGTGTTGTGGTTTTGCCATCTCACTGATACCAGGTTGTAGCCCAGGGTTGTGGTTTTGCCGTCTCACTGATACCAGGTTGTAGCCCAGTGTCATTGTTTTGTCGTCTCACTGATACCAGGTTGTAGCCCAGTGTCGTTGTTTTGTCGTCTCACTGATACCAGGTTGTAGCCCAGTGTCGTGGTTTTATCATCTCACTGATATCAGGTTGTAGCCCAGTGTCGTGTGTTGCCATCTCACTGATACCAGGTTGTAGCTTAGTGTCATGTTTTGCCATCTCACTAATACCAGGCTGTGTAGCCTAGTGTTGTGGTTTTGTCGTCTCACTGATACCAGGTTGTAGCCCAGTGTCGTGGTTTTCTGCATTTGTCTTGCACGTCTCGGGTGGCTTGGGTGATGGATTTGTTCCTCTTTTTGTTTTTTAAAGATTCAGGTACACCATTTGTCTATCTCTTTCTTGGGTTGCCAGTTTGATATCGACAAGGGTCTGTCCTATAACTTCAATATTTCTTGCGTAGTAGCGTTTAATTACACCACTGCTGGCTTGCTAGGCCTGTAAAATGAATGAGGAGCAGAAGAAGATAAAGAAAAAAAAAAAGAAGAAGAAGCAGAAGAGGAAGAAGAAAAAGAAGAAGAAGAAGAAGATTCTATTGAAAGTAGATTGTGTTAAGGTTGTGGGATACACTTCAGACAGTAAGCTCTGATGTCTTGACCTTCCTGCTTGTCTCAGTTTCTGCCAGAATCAGTTGTGGAATGATACAATTTTGTAGCACTAATTTCTGTGATAAAATCAAATCATTACCTGCACAGTCTGTGGCAACTCAACTCTTCTTGCGGCCCTAAATTCTTGCCTAGACCACAGAAGTGGTAAATAAGGCAATAATGACATACTGGGAGAATGTCTCCCTGCTTTTTTTTTCAGTATGTTCCTGCCAGTATCAGCTGTTGAAAGATTCAGTTTTGTAGCACTAATTTTTGTGAATTGTCCTGCCTTTCTCATTCTGTTCCTACCAGTTTCATTTGTTTAGTGACTCCCTTTTGTAGTGCAAATGTGTTGTTTCAGTACCAGACTTAAGAATAAAAAACAACAACCCCGTTCCCAGGTTGACCCAGCCTTGAGTGGGTTCCAGGTAAAGTCCCGGGAAGTTAAGGTAACCGGCATGATGCTGATCCTATCACCCACCAAGTGCATATTGGTCTATAAAATATAGGTCTCACCTGATATTCTCAGAATGCCTAAAGGGATGAAACTTACTTTAACATTTAAAAAAAAAATGTGTTGTTTCAGTACCAGACTTAAAAATAAAAAAAAAACAACCCCGTTCCCAGGTTGACCCAGCCTTGAGTGGGTTCCAGGTAAAGTCCCGGGAAGTAAAGGTAACCAGCATGATGCTAATCCTATCACCCACCATGTGCATATTGGTCTATAAAATATAGGTCTCACCTGATATGCTCAGAATGCCTAAAGGGATGAAACTTACTTTAACATTTAAAAAAAAAATGTGTTGTTTCAGTACCAGACTTAAAAATAAAAAAAACAACAACCCCGCTCCCAGGTTGACCCAGCCTTGAGTGGGTTCCAGGTAAAGTCCCGGGAAGTTAAGGTAACCGGCATGATGCTGATCCTATCACCCACCAAGTGCATATTGGTCTATAAAATATAGGTCTCACCTGATATGCTCAGGAATGCCTAAAGGGATGAAACTTACTTTAACATTTAAAAAAAAAATGTGTTGTTTCAGTACCAGACTTAAAAATAAAAAAAAAACAACCCCGTTCCCAGGTTGACCCAGCCTTGAGTGGGTTCCAGGTAAAGTCCCGGGAAGTTAAGGTAACCGGCATGATGCTGATCCTATCACCCACCATGTGCATATTGGTCTATAAAATATAGGTCTCACCTGATATGCTCAGGAATGCCTAAAGGGATGAAACTTACTTTAACATTTAAAAAAAAATGTGTTGTTTCAGTACCAGACTTAAAAATAAAAAAAAAACAACCCCGTTCCCAGGTTGACCCAGCCTTGAGTGGGTTCCAGGTAAAGTCCCGGGAAGTTAAGGTAACCGGCATGATGCTGATCCTATCACCCACCATGTGCATATTGGTCTATAAAATATAGGTCTCACCTGATATGCTCAGGAATGCCTAAAGGGATGAAACTTACTTTAACATTTAAAAAAAAAATGTGTTGTTTCAGTACCAGACTTAAAAATAAAAAAAACAACAACCCCGTTCCCAGGTTGACCCAGCCTTGAGTGGGTTCCAGGTAAAGTCCCGGGAAGTTAAGGTAACCAGCATGATGCTGATCCTATCACCCACCATGTGCATATTGGTCTATAAAATATAGGTCTCACCTGATATGCTCAGAATGCCTAAAGGGATGAAACTTACTTTAACATTTTTTTTAAAAAATGTGTTGTTTGGCAGGGATGCCACCAAGGGCCAGCACTCAGTCTGGACATTCCAACAGCCACCATCACAGTCTCCACCAGCATCATCGCCAGAAGCAAGAGTCGCTGTGTAAAGAGTCCCAGGTGACAGCCTTCGTACAGAAGTACGTTTCCAGCGCCTACCTGGTGTCGGAGAACTTCCGGGAGCTGCATTACATTCTGCCGTTTGAGGAGGTCAAAAAGGGGTGCTTTGAGAAACTTTTCATGTAAGATGAGTTTTTTTCGTTATTTTGTTCCTTATTAGGTAATTGTGTTTGTTGAATTTCTTCCTCATTTTCTTCCTCTTCTTCTTCGATCCTTCTGTCATAAACCATATCAGAAGGCCGGTAGCCTTTATGAAAGCTATCGTGCAGTCCATATCCTCTTGTGTACCATACACTCTTCATTGTGCTTGGAACAGGCCAGATTGCATCTCTGTTGTCAGCATACAGTTGACAGTGTTGGAGCAAATGCTCAGCATTTTTGGGTGCAAAGTTGCAGGGGCACGACTCCGTGTTTCCGACATCGAAAAGTTTGAACACATATGGCTCTGTTGTGCCCTGTCTTTAATCTGAATATAAAACACTTTGCATCTCTAGAGAGGCCATAAGGTGAATCTTGAGGAGACCATTTTGTGTGTTTTTGTTATATTTGGCTCTCATAATGTATTGTAAAAGTTTTTGTCTTAAAAATGTTTCTTGTGTTTATTACGCTTGTAAACTCAATGTGTGGATTCCTGAACCACATTTTGGATGGTGGAGGGGGTGGGGGGGGGGGGGGGGAACCTAACAAGCATGATGTAAAAGGCGACTAATTAGGGATGGTTCCTTTGAGAGGTGAGGAATCAAGTCTGCATACAAATAAACCAGATCTGTAAGACTGATGTGCTTGCAAGTTCTAGAACAATACCAAAGGGTAATGAACAGGCAGACAGATTGGCTGGATCTGCACCACTGGGTGGTGAATTGATACATGGCAAGGCAGATGTGGTCAGGGCCCTTTGGGAACAAGCAACAGAATCAGTAGAGAAAGAAGATTATTATGGCCTGGAGAGAATGAGGCACCTGGGTGTAACCAGAGGGTCTGGCCAGCTCACTAAACTCAGAGGAAAGGCAAGACGGACATATAACCAGATTGTGACTGGTACCATCAGTATTGGAACTCTGCACTGGCTGCTGAAGATAAGGGCGGAGCATGCATGTGAATGCCCCAATTGCTGTGATGTCAGTTCTTGACTCGACTCAACTCAACTCTACCAAAGTCCAGAATGAACAGCCAGAACTTTCTGCCAGAATTTACAGCCGGTAAATGCTAAGAAGAATCAGAAGAAGAAGAAGAAACTTGTAAATTTGCTTGAATAAGGTAGATGATCTGTTATATCTGTAGAAGTTACTGTTGTAAGGTCTTGTGTTTGTCGTTTTAATGAGTTGTAATTTGGTTAAACTAAAAAAAAAATAAAATTTTTTTTTTTATTTAAGAAATTATATCTGTTGGACCGTCTGTTTTACTTGTAGAAGTTACCCTTATAAGGATGATGCTTGAGTATCAGGAAATGATTACATTTTTTTTTTTTTTTTTCAACGTATCCAGAAACCATGAGTTGTAAACCCTTTGGCTCGGTACTATGAATATCGCAACCCTTAGGCATTGATTCCATTATAGGTACCGTTAATCTGGGAGAAATGTGGCTTTTCTGCCTACCCCCGGGAGTGAACCCGGACCACAAGGAATTTGTCACCCGGCCGCCGCGAAGTCAGGTTTAACCAACTTCGCTAGAGAGCCGGGCAAATGATTAAAAAAATTGTGTAACTGCATTTGAATACCTGCCACTGTTTTAAGGGAACACATGCTTAACTAAAAATACTCTCTCTTCAATAGTTAACACTCTTATGGCTTAGATCATTTACTAAAACACCGGTAAATAGCAGTGATGTTCTAAACTAACGGTTATGTGGGGCTTGAAACATGACGTAATACACTAATTTAATTACAGTGCACGGATAGTTAATTTTAAAAAGTCTACAATCATTAAACACACACCCTTTGTAAGGAATCTTGTTGTTATATTTTTCACCTGAAAATTTTCAGAAACCTGGACACTTCCCTTGATGAGCTTCATGTTACCAGCTATGGCATAATGGACACAAATCTGGAAGAAATTTTCCTCAAAGTCACAGAAGCAGCATATATTGAGGAGGAAGGTAAACTCTTCCAGATTTGGTCTTTTATGAATATAAACACGTTGTAAACTCTTCCACCGTTGAACTCTCAATGTGAACTTTTTCTTCTGTATTCACTGTTAACTCTTTTAGTTCCAAACAATGCATGATATGTTTCTGACTATTCCTCACAGTTTTGGGGAAACATAAACAAGTGTCTTTTCAGATTTCCATTTTTGTCAGTGTATACTACATAAATCTGGCAACCACAGGGCTATCTTTTTGATTTTTCTTGCGTGCAGTACAACAGGTGGTTAGAGTTTTTTTTTAAAGAAATTAGAAATTGACAGTCAATATTTTTAGACAGATTATGAAAATTATTTGGCTTATGTGGCTGAATGTTGAATTAAGAATCTACGTCACAGCTTTCGGGACACTACAATAAACGCCCTGTCCCCATCTTCAGCAGCAAGCGAAGAGTTCCTGTTCCGATATGGTACCAGTAACTGTAAGATTGTATATCCCTTTCACCTTTTCCTTGAGTGATGAGCGTCTGCCAGATCCCCTGGTAAATTCTCGCAACGCCATTCTACCCAGACTGTAATTATCTGTCTGTGCCTCCTCACTGTTTACTCGCTCCCAAAGGGCTGTCTCAACATCCAGCTTGTCATACATCAATCAATTCACCACCAGGTGGTGCAGAACTGGCCAGTCTGTCAATGCCTGCTCATTTCCCAACACACCAGCCACTCTTATAAATATGGTCTCAGTATAAACTCTTCTGGGCAGCCGAGGTATCCTGGCATCTAGACACACTTTTTTCTTTCTTTCCAAAATGACTTTGGCTTCTAGGTCCAACCAGCCTAAATGGATACCAGATAATGTAATGGGAAGTACCAGGTAATGTAATGGGAAGTACCAGGTAATGTAATGGGAAGTACCAGGTAATGTAATGGGAAGTACCAGGTAATGTAATGGGAAGTACCAGGTAATGTAATGGGAAGTACCAGGTAATGTAATGGGAAGTACCAGGTAATGTAATGGGAAGTACCAGGTAATGTAATGGGAAGAAAGGGGGCTGAGGTAATATAGATCATCACCCAGCGAATGCTGATTGGTCTAAACAAATGAGTCCAGCATCATATGCCCGATGTGCCACTGTTGTGAAACAAATCCTTCACTTTTTTAAATAAATTTATATTATGTTCACTTTGTTTGTTTGTTTGTTCTTCTGGTTCAAACCTTTGTTCACTTTTGTTACATTATTTTCTGATAAACTGTGGAGTTGAAATTTGACACACATATGCTTTATCAATGACAATGCAGCGTAGTACAAAAATATTCAGAAAAATGTTTCAGTTTATTTATTTTATAAACTCTTCCCCAGCTTCTGAGGAAACAAAATCCCTGGAGACCTTTCCACCAGACAGGGCAGCTAACCCATCACATACTCATCCATCTTCTGCTGGTACTCCACTGGTGGACAGTCCGGCAACCTCACTGAGCAATCTCCTGGACACAGACGTGGCCGGACTTGCTTCTGCTGCTCCTACAGCCCATTCTGGGGACAGGAACAATGCTTCAACTGAGGAAGGCAGCAGTGGTGATGATGAAGGGTGTGAGTCCCCGGGGTACCACAGCAGCAGGGTGCCTATTCTGACGAGGGACAACATCATACTGGAGGACTTTAGTGGTGACCAGTTTTCTTGGGGTCACAATGGCAGAGATATGAATATGATTAACCTGGTCGATATCGGCAGTGACCGACAGGTTCCTCAGGCTGCTGCGCCAGGTAAGATTAAGGCTTTCAGTCCTTTCTGTTCCAATGAGCTAAAAAGCATTATATACTTATGATGAAAGGAGTTGAATTGAAACATCCCCATTGTGTGTTCTGAGTCCTCATTGTGAGTGAAAGTATAATAGACCCACTGTCCTCTGACAAGCATGTCCTAAGAGTCTACTAATTAGGAATGTTTTCAACAAAGTCGGAGTGTATCTGCAACAGTTTGCATACAAATGAGCCAGAGCTGTCAAATGGATGTGCACAAAAACTCAGGTTTTTGAACAAGACTACTGTCCAGAAGTGGATCAAAAACTAGAACTTTCTGTTGGAGTTTACAACCGGTGAACATGAAGAATAAGAAGGGAAATGGAAACACCATGGGACATAAGTAGAAAAAGCAGAAGAAGAAGGAGGAGAAGAAAAAGAAGGAAGAGGAGGAGGATGAGGAGGAGGAATTTTACAGAGAGAGGGAAGAAGTTATTATAGGAATATGAAGTAAGAAGTAAGCTGTACAGCTGCGTAATGTCTGTAGAATGACATCATTTTCCCTGTGTGGGTTCTGATGCGCCATTGTGGGGAAAACAAGAATTGTCCCACTGCCAACCCAAAAGCATGTCGTAAGAGTTGTAGGAGCTTCCTTCGAAGTTGGAGTTCATCTGCCTGAGAGGAGAGGAACCAACAGTCTGCCTACATATGGCTCAGATCTGTAAAACGGATGTGCTCACACTAAGGTTCTTGAACAGGACTAAAGTCCAGAGGTGGACAAACACCTAGAACTTTCTGCATGAGTTTACAGCTGGTGAACAAGAAGAAGTAGTTGACTCAAGAACCTTGGTAACAACTGGCAAGAGGGAACAGGGTAAGACAAAGGGATAAGTAAGACACAGGGATAAGTAAGACAAAGGGATAAGTAAGACAAAGGGATAAGTAAAACAAAGGGATAAGTAAGACAAAGGGATAAGTAAGACAAAGGGATAAATACCTGGGTGGCCTGGCCATGTGGATGGGGTGAGAGAGGAACCCTGAACTGGTTTGTGATTCTGGGGACCGGATGGGTTGGTGGAACATGACAGCCCATGCTTTATGGCATGGCACATGATGAGGGTGATGATAAATGATAATTATATAAGGCACTCTTATTTTAGAGAATAAATGCAGAGATAAAGAAGAATTACACGGAAGAATATATGCACAGTTATGAATGTGTATATATGTGTTCATTAATTCCCCACCCTGTTGTGCCATTACATGTCACATAGGACAGACAGTCTGTTTCTCCATTTGCTTCTATTCTGTGCAATCACTTTGATATCATGAATGAAATCCAGTCCAACAGCTTTGGCTTCTCTCATCGACATTCCCTTTAGGTTTCACTTGGATGTCCTTGTTTCCTCAGTCCATCTGTTTCCCATTTCAGTGCCTGTTTAATAATTCTCAGCTCATTTGTTCTCAGGATGTGTCCAGTACAGGGTCATTTGTCTCTGTCTTATAACTGTTGATACTAGTGGTTGCCCAGACATTTCTTTTCTTTCTTCACCTCTCTTGAAGTTATTCCATTTTATGTTCATCATTTTCCCTCAGAAATTTGTTTTTTGAAGGCATTTACTTTCATTCCACATCTTCAGTGGTTCTCAAACGTTCGCTGGCATATGTTGTCTGTGCGTGTATATGAATATTTAACGTATATAAGCCCAGGTAAAGGATATGCATACAGATAAGAAAGAATCTGTACATAAGTAACAAATGGGCACAGTGAAAGAGCATATACTTTTCACATACATGCAGGCACACATGCACAAACACAATCATTCAAAATCTGTTTTTAATCTTTTTTTTAGTCAAGACAAGAGTATCTGTATTGTAAATGTGAAACAATTTTGTTTCTGCAGGAAGGCAGGACACTCCTAGAATCCTCCTGGAAGGTAGAGGGAGCCACATGTTGAATTCCAAGCTGCTGCTGTTTAACCACTTCAAGGCTGTCATCATCAAACGCTTCCACTACATCACCCGCAACTGGCGCAGTCTTTTCTCTCAAATCATCCTGCCGGCCATTTTTGTTGCCATCGCCATGACTGTTGCCTTGGCAGCGCCATCTGTTGATGACCTCCCACCACTGGAGCTGAGCACCACTCAGTACACCAATGTCTCTTTGCCAAAAGGGAACTTCATTCCATTTACAAATGAGAGAATGAGTCGCAGGTAAATTGAAGTTACTACATATTTTCATCATCATTATCATCAACATCACCATCTTCATTAATTTCCACTTTTGCCATTAAACATTGCGAGAGTAATATGTACGGTCCATTGCTTGATTGGTGGCAATGGCTGTCGTTCTGCGACGATGTAGAAAGTGTTTGATGTAATCAATAGTCTTCTTCTAGGGCACTCTCTTGCTTTCACATCAGTTCTGTTTGAGAGTAGTGCCTGTGGTTATTGGTAGTTGTTGTAGCTGTATTCTAATGAGATGACCAAACCATTTCATCTTCTGTTCTCAGTGAATTTGGTGCATGGTGTTTTTTATCATCATCATTCATCAAAAACTTTAAAAAAATAGGAGCAGCCATTGTTACTTTCTTTTTTTCCTAGTCACTAACTGTTCTTCTTTTGTTGTCTCACCGATACCAGGTTGTAGCTCGGTGTTGTGGTTTTGTTGTCTCACTGATACCAGGTTGTAGCCCACTGTTGTGGTTTTGTCGTCTCACTGATACCAGGTTGTAGCCCAATGTTGTGGTTTTGTCGTCTCACTGATACCAGGTTGTAGCCCAGTGTTGTGGTTTTGTCGTCTCACTGATACCAGGTTGAAGCCCAGTGTTGTGTTTTTCTGTATTTGTCTTGTACATCTCAGGGGACTTGGGTAATGGATTACTAACTACCTTTATGTAAATGAATGTAAACATGCTATTATATATTTGATATCTGGTATAATCTTTCTTTGATACTAGAAATGTGAATAAATATATTTTATTATTTAAATTATACAGAGTAACTAATATTCAATGCACTCATGGAATCTCATGGCAGTCCAATTTCCAGCATGGGAGATGCAAGAGATTAGGGAAAGAAACAAGAATATATTTAATTTAACCAATCCTAACTAGGTGGCTGTAAAACATCTTTTTGATCTTAGTTTAAAAAAAAAATCACTGGATTTATTTTAGATTTAGTCAAGAGGCGATGAGGAGGATCCTGTGACAAGTGTAAGAGCCAGAAATATAACACTGTAATGTCTGAATTGATTACATTCACATCCAAGGAGAAGAGTGAAGGTGTTAGCTGACACTTGTAACAATTATTCCCATTCATAATTTCACAGGGATATAATTTCATTATCAGTGTATGGGCCCATATGATTTTAACAGTTATATTTTATCCTTACAAATTTGCCTCCATGTATAAGATTTAGACAGTGTATTCACATAAAAGTCTAAATTGGAGTGAGTGGGCGAAACATTTCTTGAAGTAAAAACACATGGAAAAGGAAACTGGAGAGTGAAGCTACATATGACCTTGAAGGATAGGATGACTTTGTTAGGGTTCTATACTCGACTCTATGTGGTGATAAAGGACATCACAAGAAGAAGAGTCTAGTGAGTATACGCTGTGTGGCACACCAGAACAACCTCAAAGCATGTCCTACAAGATCGCACAGACTTTGCTACTCAGAGGGAAGAAACCATGCCTCCAAACGTGTGCCTGCACAGCATTTGTAGAAGGTTACTGTATGGTAGAAGGTTTTCTGTATGGTAGATGGTTTCTGTATGGTAGATTTTTCTGTCTGGTAGATGGTTTCTGTCTGGTAGATGGTTTCTGTCTGGTAGATGGTTTCTGTATGGTAGATGGTTTCTGTCTGGTAGATGGTTTCTGTATGGTAGATGGTTTCTGTAATGTAGATGGTTTCTGTAATGTAGATGGTTTCTGTAATGTAGATGGTTACTGTATGGTAGATGGTTTCTGTATGGTAAATGGTTTCTACATTGTAGATGGTTTCTGCGTGGTAGATGGTTTTTGTTTGGTAAAAGATTTATGTGCTGTAGATGGTTTCTGCATGGTAGATGGTTTCTGCATGGTAGATGGTTTCTGTGGGGTAGATGGTTTCTGTATGGTAGATGGTTTCTGTATGGTAGATGGTTTCTGTATGGTAGATGGTTTCTGTGCGGTAGATGGTTTCTGTATGGTAGATGGTTTCTGTGAGGTAGATGGTTTCTGTGAGGTAGATGAGTTCTGTATGGTAGATGGTTTCTGTGTGGTAGATGATGATTTCTGTGTGGTAGATAGTTTCTGTGTGGTAGATAGTTTCTGTGTGGTAGATGGTTTCTGTGTGGTAGATGAGTTCTGTGTGGTAGATGGTTTCTGTATTGTAGATGGTTTCTGTATGGTAGATGGTTTTGGGTAGTAGATGGTTTCTGTGGGGTAGATGGTTTCTGTGTGGTAGATAGTTTCTGTGTGGTAGATAGTTTCTGTGTGGTAGATGGTTTCTGTGTGGTAGATGGTTTCTGTGTGGTAGATGAGTTCTGTGTGGTAGATGGTTTCTGTATTGTAGATGGTTTCTGTATGGTAGATGGTTTTGGGTAGTAGATGGTTTCTGTGGGGTAGATGGTTTCTGTGGGGTAGATGGTTTCTATATGGTAGATGGTTTCAGTATGGTAGATAGTTTCTGTTTGGTAGAAGATATGTTTGGTAGAAGATTTATGTGCTGTAGATGGGGTAGATGGTTTCTGTGTGGTAGATGGTGTCTTTGTGGTAAAAGGTTTTCCTGTGGCTGATGGTTTTCTTATGGGAGAAGATTTCTGTGAGGTAGATGGTTGTGACACAATAGGGCAAGAAAATTAATGAATGCACATAATCACATTCACAACTGTGCATGTATTCTTCAATGCCATTCTTCTTTATCTCCTCATTTATTCTCTAAATCAAGTGGGCTTATATCACCAACATTATTATCATCGTATGTATTCTCTAATAAGTTTACAGTTTGTATTTTCTTTGTGGGAGTGTGCAGTCATTATTTAATAAGGACTATTTTCTAACACTGGACTACTTTCTTTCTTCCACATATTCCTCCTCAGATCGAAGGTCAATCCCTTAGATGCTATAGCCAGTGAACTCCAGGAAACTCTAGCCCTGGCGTCTGGCATCGGAGCCAGTTGTCTGCTCAGATCTCCAAACATCACTGTTCGCAACCACTCCGCAGATTATGACATGGAAGATTACGAGGCATTATGTCAGTGGATGTTTCAAGCACAATCCTTCTTATCCATTGAGCATACCAAGCGCTACTCAGAGCATTACATCAACATGACCTTTGACCCACAGAGTAAGTAATGAAGTCTTTTTTGTTCCAATTTATTTAAATACTGGTCAATTTTAGTTGTAGTTGCTGTTGCATTGTTGTTAGTGCATTTTCCTGCCGAGACAAAGGTCAAGGTTCAGTCCTCAGAAGTGGCAGAAGTTTTTCTTGATCAATATCACTCTTGGGCAATAATGTAGTTTCATAACTGGTAGTTCCGTGTCGGTCCCGGGGCCCTGTTATAGGGAAAACAAGAATAGACCCATTGCCTACCCAAAAGCATGTTTTAAAAATCGACTATTTGGGAGCTTCCTTCAAAGCCGAAGTCCATTTTCTTGAGAGGGCAAGAAACCAACAGTCTGCATACAGATTAGTCAGATCTGTCAAACACGCAACACTTGAGTTCTGAAACAGGTCTGCAGCACAGAAGTGGACAAACAACCAGAACTTTCCGCCAGAGTTTACAGCTGGTAAATGCAAAGAAAAAGAAGAAGAAGATAACTGCTAGAGATATTGAAATACGAATACAAAAGGTAAGAGGAATTTTCTTAAAACTAGTAAATCTGTAAAAATCTGTGGAAATTAGAACTGATACTAAACTTAAATTTTTAATTGTAATGTCAAATCAATACTGCTGCATGGAGTAACATGGAGAACAGCTAAAATAATGACTAATAAACTACAGACATTAATTAACTGGTGCCTGCACTGAATAAAATAAGTAGAGTAAGTAAGTAAAGGAAGTGCAAGAATTTAAATACTTGGGAAGTATCTTTACATCCAATGGTAGAATAGACAGAGAGATCGAAGCAAGAATCCAACAAGCCAACAATGTCGCATAACAGCTTGCCCCAATTTTAAAACACCCTGCTGTCCCAGCTGAGATAAAAGGACAAATTATAAATACAATCTTTATACCGACATTAGGTTATCAATGTCAGACTTGGACATTAACACGAGAACACGAGAGAAGACTAACCACCTGTGAAATGAGATGTTTGAGAATGGCTGCGAATAAAACCAGAAGAGATCGAGTGAGAAACGATGTGATTACAAGAACTATTGGAACCATACCCATCATTAAATTTATTGAGAAGTAAAGAATGAAATGGTTTGGTCACCTAATGAGAATGAAACCAACGATGCCAGCATCAAGAGCATACAACATGAAAATCGAAACACCAAGAGGCAGGGGAAGACCAAGAAGAAGATGGATTGAAGGAGTCACGGACAACTTGAGACTTCATAACATCACGGCATATGAAGCGACTGAGCGCGCCCTGGCTCGGTTGCCGATCATCTGATAGACTGCGACGCCTAGCGGCACAAGCAGATTTTGACAAAAGAAGAAAGAAGTAAGTAAAGGACCCTTTCCACGCCATTAGGCGTATAGGGCATAAAAGGCCAGACCTATATTTTTATAGACCAAAAGGCACAAAAAGGGTGATGTGATGTGGTCAGCATCACGCTGGCTGCCTTTACTTCCGAGGACTGCACCCGGTACCCACTCAAGACTGGGTCGACCTGGGAGTCAAGGTCATTTTTGAAAAAAGTCCGGCGCCGCCAGGGAGCGAACCTATGACCTTCCGATCTGCGGCGAGGGTCTAGCCGCTCGGCTATGGTGACTCCCACCTGCACTGAATAGAGAGAATAAAATGGTATGATAGAATCACTAATGTTGAGCTTAGGAGAGAAAGAACTAAACAGATGTCAGTGCCAGGGCCTTTTGACCTGAAGTGCTAAAGAAATATTCTCAGAATACCATGGACTGAGAAACAAATAAATATCGACATCCTGAAAGATCTGAACATTACGGCGGATTGGCTAGTTATCAGCATTTTGTCTTGGGAACTGAAATATGTTGACCATATCATGTGCCTCAGCGGATTGGAAGGTAGAAGGCAAGGTACCAGGAAAGAGTGGCAGGAAGTAATCAGTACAAAGGGGCACAGGATATGAGTAGGTAGGAAAGTGTACTTTCCCTCATCAAATGGAAAAAGTTTCTATAAGCAGTAATTCCCATCCATCATATATCCATGATATATAAAAACTAAGCATTCTTAAAAAAAAAAAAAAATTATGCTCTATTACACAGGTCTTTACTCTCTAAAGTAGTACTATCCATCCTTCAGTTTTGTTTCCTTGTGATAAAGAAAATTGAGTGTATGTTTTTAATTATACTTTATTACAGATCCTTACTCTTCGAGGCGGTAAAACCCATCAGTTTTGTTTCCTTGTCACATAGAAAATTGAGTGTATGTTTTAAATTATACTTTATTACAGAACCCTACTCTTCGAGGCAGTAAAACCCATGTTTTGCTTCCCTGTGATAAAGAAAATATAGTGTATGTTTTTAATTATACTTTATTACAGATCCATACTCTTCAAGGCAGTACTACCCATCAGTTTTGTTTCCTTGTTATATAGAAAATTGAGTGTATGTTTTTAATTATACTTTATTACAGATTTATACTCTTCGAGGCAGTAAAACCCTTCAATTTCACTTCCTTATGATAAAGAAAATTGAGCGTATGTTTTAAATTATACTTTATTACAGATCCCTACTCCTCGAGGCAGTACTATCCATCCAACTGCGCTTGCAAAGAGGATGGCACAGGGTTCAACTGCCAGGGCGAGCCGTATGAGAAACCTCCTGGTTTTCAAGTGGTTACTTTAGACAGGTTGAACAACATAACCGGGCAGAAAACTCAGGACTATCTCCTCTACACCACGTATGATATGGAGATGCATAGGTGAGGTTATTGTGTGGTTGTTTATGTTGGTCATTGTGGGGTAGAGAGTGTTTGTGTTGGGGAGACCATCTGTGTGTTGAAGAGGCTTTGTGGCCATTAGAGAAACTTCTGATCCAATATGATTGTAACTCTAAAACTACCGTAAGAAACTAGATGAAGAGAAGAAGAACTTTAGATTCTTGGTCAGTTTTAATACAATCTAGGGAGCTTGAAATCTGTGACCACTGAGCAGACAGGCAAATCTGTTAGCTTTTGTGTAATTCCCCCCTCCCCCCAGCCCCCAAGTCACTAAAAAGGGGGATTTTTTCATATTTAAAGGTCATAATTTTAAGCAAAGGTGATTTTCTGAAATAAAGGGAATTAATCACTAAATTCAAACAAAGCAAAGAAATAACTGCTTTTCTTTTCTTTGGCCAAGAAAACAATTTTTTTTTTTTAGTAGTCGCAAAGATCAAAGTGGCTTCATAATAACAATCAGGTTTTTTTTACGCCTTATAATATCTGCAATTTATTGATGTAAATATAATCATCCCCGCTAAGTCTTATACATATGCTGTGCAGTTGCAACCAATACCAGTGTTTTTCAGGTGTGTTGGCCTCTGCTCATCGAAATCATGTCATCAAAAAGTGTGCAAGTAAAAAAACTGGCTTTCTTGGGGTATCAGGATTTAAAAGCTTTTTGAAATCAGATGTGCTGGGTTCTATGTTTAAGGCTTCATTGTAGGACATGCTTGGCATTAGATTCAATCTTGATTGTATTCATTTTTTTTTTTCAGGTATGGTGGATTGTCATTCGGATTGGTGCAGAAATATGTGCCGGAAAACTTTGGTTTGAATGCCCCAACTCTGTTCAAGAAACTTGCAGTTAGGAATGTGGCAACTGTAAGTTCTTGTTCTTTTTTTTGTGTTTTTGTGTGTTCTCCGCCTTCTATTGTCTTCATCTGTATCATCTTTTATCTTTACCTGGCCTTTCTACTCTTCTCCCTCTTTCTCCTTTTTCTACTCTGCTTCTTTGTTTCCGCCGTCTATCTCATCTCTTTATCTCTACCTCACCCTTCTTCTTTTTTTCTTTCTTCTTCTGCTTCTTCTTTTATTCCTCTTCCTTTTCTTTCTTTCTATCTCTTTCCTTCTTTTTCTTCTTCTCTTTCTACTTTTCCTTCTTCTGTGCCATCTTTTTATTTCTACCTCATCCTCCTCCTCTTTGTCTCTTCCTTTTTTTTTTCTTCTTCTTCTTCTTTTCCTTCTCCTTCTCCTTTTTTTTGGCTCTTATACCGTCTGCTTTTTTTCCCCGCATCTATATCATCTCTTTACCTCATCATCCTCATCTCTCTTCGTCTTTTCTACTTTTGCTACTTCTTTTCCTCCTTCTCCTCTCCTTTTTCTTGTTACTTCTTCTGCCTTGCTGTCCTTCTTCCACTTCCTGCTTCTCTTTCTTCACTGTTCTTTCTGGTGTGCAGTGTCTTTGTTTGTGGTAGCATACCTTAACTTATAAGGGACCCTTTTTTTTTACACCTATTTAAAAAAATGCAAAGGATCCTCTTCCACGCCTTCGGACATATTAGACATATAGTGCTGACTTAATATTTTACAGTACTATTGACACTCGGGGGGTGATGTCGGCCATCTACTTCCCAGGACTCTACCTGGTATCCATTTATGGCTGGATCGACCTAGAAGCCAAGGTCATTGACAAATTTAGTCCAGCTCCATCAGGACCCGACATTCGAATCTGCAGGCGAGCGTCTAGCTGCTACACCATGGTGGCTTTCTTTGACATCACGTCATTAGCCTATCCTAGAATACATTTTTTACAGACCGATACACACGCTGGATGTGAAAGGGGCAGCATGGGGCCAACTGCGTGTACTTCCCAGAATATACTGACTACACACTTTAGGCTGGGTTGACCTAGGAGCCAAGGTCAGTTAAAAAAAAAAATCTGCCTAAATGTGGAATTGAACCCAAAATCTTTGGGCTCACAGTTGCGTGTCTAGCCACTACACTACCAGGCTCCCTACCATCACATCTACAAGTACATAACTCATTAAATGAATGAATCAATAAATCAAGAACTGCCATCACTGCACTCGGGACATTCCCACAAGTGCTCCATCCCAACAAAGAGTCGACATATCTAATTCTTACTTTATCTTCGTTGGCTAATGAAAAGAGTATCAAGCTCAGTGCATGCACTCCATTGCTCCGGCAATAATTCTTCTTAATAGTTTTAATATACCTGCAAGATGCTCGGATGAAAATAAATAAAATCATCTCTATTCCCCAGATGTGGTTCAACCACAAAGGCTATCACTCAATGGCAGTCTACCTGAATATACTGAACAACGCCATCTTGAGGGCCAACCTGCCACCCAGTAAAGGCAACCCTGCTGCCTACGGCTTCACCCTGTACAACCATCCTTGGAATGATACAAACAGCGAGTTGTCTTCCCTTGATTACATGTATGTAAACTTTTCAAATGGAAGAGTTCCTTGTATTTTGTTATCTAATGTTGACTAGACAGAAATGGAAGAAAAAGGAGTGCTCAAGAATGCAAACCTTTTACGTGCGCAGCAATGCACAGGAGCATCAGATCTGACTACCCAGAGACCAGGGAATTACTAGAAGTCCAAGTCCACATGAATCCCAGCCCTTACCGGGGATTGAACCTAGAACCTTTAGCACTCGAGGCGGACACCATGCCTCGAGACCACACACCCCCCTAAACATCGACTAAGTATGGCATGAAATAAACAAAGAAAAAAACCAAAAGTAATGACTAATAATCCAGCTGGCAGAATTTCACCAATCTAGGTTAAAGGTCACAAATTAGAACATGTCAATCTTTTCAAATATTTAGCATCCATTTTAAGTTACCTGGGGTCAAGACCAGAAATCATGTCAAGGATTACCCAGACAACATCAGTCCTTGCCAAGCAGCAAACATGTAAATCCAAAAACATTTCATGTAAAACTAAGATTCGATTGTTCAGAGCACTAGCCATTAATAGCTTTACATATGGCTGTGATACGTGGACTTGGCAGCTGAACTTGAAAGAAAGATACAAGCATTGGAAAGGCGATGTTTCAGAAAATTCTTGGCATATCATACAGAGACCACATTACAAACCAAGAGGTTCGCCATAAAATTATACAACACATTGGCAATTATGAACCTCTTTTAACTACAATGAAAAGGCAAAACATGTAGTTGTATTGACATGTAATAAGATCAAACGGCCTCTCAGAAACAATACTGCAGGGCCCAGGAGAGGGAGAAAGGAGAAGAGGCGGACCAAGAAAGACCTGGTTACAGAACCTGACTGACTGGACAGGCCTCAGGCATTCAACTATGAAGTCCATTGCAGCTGACTCTCAAAGGTGGAGGGAGCCCATCAGACAGTCAACAGAAACTGGTGACCCAATGACACGCAGTGTTACGGGATGTTGATGATGATGATGATGAATATATGTTGTGTTATAACAAAACGCCCTGCCTCACTGTACATTCGACATTCCCATGCATGCTCCGTCTCCTGATGCAACATACTAAGTTATCAATTGCTTGTTGGCTTATTTTATTCATTGTGTAGAGGGTCCTTTGCTGAACATGGCTCTGATCACAGCTAACCTGTAAGAAACTTGGTCCCTCAGCAGCTCTCCTGTCTTATGCACTTTCCTATGCGGGGTGTCTCTTTTGTCCTGTGCCCATCTTCTTGCTGGTCAGCCCCTGCCCCTCTTACCCAGCAACCTGCCATCCCACCACTGTTCTCATTACTCCATCTGGTGCTTGATATGGTCAAATTTTTTTCAGTTTAAGATAATTTAGAATGTCAGTATTTATTTTTTTTTCTGCCTTGACATTGTAAGAATCTTTCTGAATTGTTGTTAGCTCAGAAGCCCCTATTTTCTTCCTCACAGATTTTGAGATGGTCCATGATTCACATCTGTTTGTGTCTACAGAAAAGATGTGTGCTTTCATTTTGTTTATATTTTATTATGATCTGGCTTTATGGTTCGGACATCCTGATCTCCATTTAATTGTTGTCCTGCGTTAAAATTAGTTAACGACATGTTGTTGATTTAATTGCGATCAGACTTGAAGGCTCAGATGTGCTGATCTCCATCTTCATCATTGCGGCCATGTCATTTGTACCTGCCAGTTTTGTCGTCTTTCTGGTCTATGAGAAATCAACAAAGGCCAAGCACCTGCAGTTTGTAACTGGCATGAACCCTGTCATGTACTGGTTGGGCAACTACGTCTGGGATATGGTGAGTCTTGGGGATTGTATAGTTGTTGTAGTATCTGTTGTTGTTGCTGTTGTACTGTTTAAAACAAAATAACAAAAAAAGAAAAGGAAAAAGGAAAGGCATCTTTTTCCGATGGCTCGTTTTATTAAAAACTTAATGACCCACATGCAATAGAACTGTCGATTGATTGAACTATAATAATGTATTTGTATACACAATGTGAACATTTTCACTCATTAAATTACAAATGATGACAAAATTATGTTCCATTCAGTAGCTATGTTTTTTTTTTAAATTAGTATAAATCTGGGTCATCATCATCATCATCATCCATTTGTCTTGTTATACATCACAGAAAGCTGGTTGTCTAATCCTCCACTCCGTTCTTGCCTGCGTCCACTCCTGCAACTTTGATCTCTCTCATCAACATTCATCGTATGGTTTCTTTTAGACATCCTCATTTCCTCTGTCTGTTTCCTTTCAGGGCCTGTTTGGTGATTCTCCTTCTGCCTCTTCTCCTTATGTGCTCAATATGTTGCCATATGCTTTTCTTATAGCTTTTGATACTAGTGGTTGTCCAGACATGTCTCTCTTGTCTTCACATTTCTTGAGTTCATCCCATTTAATGTTTATCAATTTTCTTTGACAGTTTTTGTGTCAGGTGCATTTAACTTTTGTTGATTTGTAATTAAATTTGTTTCGCTTGAGATAATTTGGCTATCTTCTTCTTCTTGGTGTTCACTAGCTGTCAATTCTGGAAGAAAGTTCTGGTTGTTCATCCACTTCTGGACTTTGGTCCTGTTCCAGAATTTGAAATTTTTGTCCATCCATTTTACAAATCTGGCTTATTTATATGCAGACTGTTCTTTGCACTCTATCTTTGAAGAAAAGCAGCCAGGTCGATGTCTTGTCAGTAGACTGACTAGCCACATGGGGCAGGAGAATAAATACCCCTGGAGGATTCCGGGGGCCGTAACTTAAGGGTTTTAGATAAAACTGTGTGGGCAGTTCAATCCTCTAGGATTTTGGATGAAACTGTTGGCATTTCAGTCCCTTAGTTGTTGAAGTGCCCAAAGTGAAATCTTTAAAGGAAATGAACTTAATCAGTTACCTTTCACAAGATGTTTGTTGGGGAGGGGGCAGGTGATTTATTCTTCCCTCTGTCCCTCCTGATGGGGACCCGGAACCCACATGGAAAATTTAGCTATCAGTAGCAGCACTAAATATACACTTAACGACATCAAAGTAAAATTAGACTCACAGTTCTCCTTCGGCGAATGTTTGCTTTTCTGTTGTAGGTCATGAACCGGACGGTGCACTTGAGATCTTCACTGATTCCCCACATTTTTCTTCTTAAAGCGAGCCACATTTCCTCTCATTCTGGTAAAATCTGGGCAGTCTTGTAGTATAGAATATGATCCAAAGTTTTCCTGACCTCTCTAGAGGCCAGCGGCGTGATAGCGTTCACCTTTACTCAGATATCCGGAAATTACCATATTTTCTCCCAGTAATATGTTATCATAAAGGTAGGTAGGTATGTAGTTGTACCCCACCAGGACATCACACAGGTGATAAACACCCGGTGACACAAAGTGCCACCATGCGGATGAGGATCACCTGCGGAGAGGTCCCAAAAACCCCTTTCAGCCATTAGGCCATATCTATGGCTAGGCCATATCTATGCCCCAGCTATATTCAGGGCCCCTGGCAGAAGCCAGGGTGGAGCTTCAAACAAAAGAAATTGCATCCCACATAGGGACGACTTTACATATATATCATAAAGGCACACAAAATAGATAAGTACAGTTTTTTGGCTGGCATATATTATTCTGTATAATCAGATGCATACTACAAAAGTGAATCAAATCAGCAGAATGTTATTATTATTTTTCTTTTTTTAATTACAAATAATTGTTTTGTTTATACAGGCCAACTATGTGATTCCAGCATTCATGTGTGTGATGATACTCCTGATTTTTCAAATACCAGCCTATGTGTCTGCTGCCAATCTGCCATCAGTTGTAGCCCTTTTCCTCATGTATGGGTAAGTTTGGCGTTTTTCATCGAGAAATCTTAGTGACACACATGTTTGTAAAATTGTAGTTGGTGCAAACAAATGTGTTTCCAGAGTTTTGTCTTTTGATCTTCATTTCTCTTTCTTTCTTTCTTTCTTTCTTTCTTTCTTTCTTTCTTTCTTTCTTTCTTTCTTTCTTTCTTTCTTTCTTTCTTTCTTTCTTTTTTCTTTCTTTCTTCTTTCTTTCTTTCTTTTTCTTTCTTTCTTTCTTTCTTTTTTCCTTTCTTCCTTTCTTTCCTTTCTTCCTTTTCTTTCTTTCTTTCTTTCTTTCTTTCTTTCTTTTTCTTTCTTTCTTTCTTTCTTTCTTTCTTTCTTTCTTTCTTTCTTTCTTTCTTTCTTTCTTTCTTTCTTTCTTTCTTTCTTTCTTTCTTTCTTTCTTTCTTTTTCTTTCTTTCTTTCTTTCTTTCTTTCTTTCTTTCTTTCTTTTTCTTTCTTTCTTTCTTTCTTTCTTTCTTTCTTTCTTCTTTCTTTCTTTCTTTTCTTTCTTTCTTTCTTTCTTTCTTTCCTCCCTCCCTCCCTCCCTCCCTCCCTCCCTCCCTCCCTCTCTCCCTCCCTCTCTCTCTCTCTCTCTCTCTCTCTCTCTCTCTTTCTTTCTTTCTTTCTTTCTTTCTTTCTTTCTTTCTTTCTTTCTTTCTTTCTTTCTTTCTTTCTTTCTTTCTTTCTTTCTTTCTTTCCAGTCTTTCTCTTATTCTCTTTCTTTTTCTATCTGAATTTTCCTTCACTCTGTATGTATTTGTTTCTGTTTATTTATCCCTACCTTTCTGTCTCTCACTCTGTGTGTGTGTCTGTGTGCACATTGCAATTACGTCACTCAGACATAGGATAAGGAAAAGAAACGATGTTATAATCTATCTTTGGGAATATTTAAAGTGATCAGGGATACCATTATTTTGCATTATGATATTAAAACCTCATATGCAAACCTTTGTTCTTATGATGTACTTAAACATTTCATTGATCAACACCAAACAGGTGCCATCAGTTGTTTTACACTTATGGAGCTTTTGAGTAGGAGATCAGATCACCAATGGATGTGTCTGGAGTGCTGTGATGATAATCCTTGCTAATCACTAATCAATAATGTACTAAAACAAAGTGTTTTGCTTTGTTATAATGCTAAAATTGAAATGCATTTTGTTTTTCTGTTCTCTTGAAATCAAATCAAAGATGGTCAATGACTCCATTGATGTACCCAGCCTCTTTCTGGTTCAAAGAGCCTAGTGTGGCCTACATTGCTCTGATAGTTATCAACCTCTTCACCGGCATCACCTGCATTGTTTGTAGCTTTCTCCTGGAGATCTTCTCCTATGACCACGTAAGTACCCGTATACCATATTCTTTCTGTGTGTATAAGATGATGTAGTTTTCTCAAAAGTTTTAAGTTCAAAACTATCTTATACACAGAATGTTTTTTAAAATTTTTATTTCCTAATTTTTTGCTAACAAAATAAGGGTCATCTTGTAAAGAGGAATCTCTTTTACATGTAAAAATGTGGTTTTCTCCTGCAAATGTAAACTCAGTGGAGAGTGAGAAGCAACAATGAAATTCATAGACGGTTTAAATCATCACTGATTACTGGCATTACTAGGGCCTTTCGTTGTGAAGTTGTTTTTTTTTTTTCATTCCAAAGTTTTACCCTAGTAGGATTAACAGGCTGACAAGGATTAGTTTCATTTTCATGCCAGGACATGTGGGGGTACAAGAAAATGAGCAAGCTGATAGACTTGCAGGTGAGGCTACTGTGAAAACTGGACAAGCCATGGACCAGGCTGATATACTGAATGCTCTACGAGAATGAAGACGTTTGCGTGAACCAGTTGAGAACTGTGAATCTGCAACCAGTGTCAGACTGCAAGAACAGCAAATTAAATGGGGTGTCACCTAACAAAAACACTATGTGGGTAGCCAAAGAAGAAGAATAAACCAACACAAAACTGGTGTCATCAGCCGCTAAGTGCTGCAGGATTTACTGAGGAGGGGATCAGAGCACTTATGGACTGAGTGGTTCGACGTGCAATAAGGATAATCTGTTGACTAACTAACTAACTAACTGACTGGGATTAACAACTCAAGGATGAGAATCAAACAAGTAAAAATTCTGAAAACTCCATTCAATTGTATAGATATATAGGACAGTTATATTGGGGCATGACAAAATGATTGCCAGGTAATCTGCAGTCCAGTGATGGTGGGTTGTGTGATGTCTGCCCTTGTTGGGGCCTGAAGTGAGTATGGCGGATAACAGAGGGACCAAAAAATAGTGTACACAAAAGAGATTTATGGGAGTGGATCATCTTGGCAGACCAAGAAGATAGTGGTGAGATAAAATCCAAGCAGACTTACAAACATTTGCGGTTGCCAATTGGAAACAGAAGGCCAGTTAGATACAGTTAAACTTTGATTAACTGCCACTTTTCAGACCATGGCTCTGACGGACAACCGAAGATGAATAACAGAATTCTCTTAATATATAGATACAGAAGTGGTTTTCTAATAAGTTTACTTAGGGACCAGACTTTTTGAAAATAGGAATCATCATGGGCCAGAATCATGAGTTCCAGCATAAGAATGATAATTAATACAGTACTACTGGCAGTGATCCAGGAGCCACTTGCTAGGTCTCTTTGGGCCAGATTTGGCCCACAGTTTGCCAGCTGAATAGCCCTGATGACAGTAACGTGATTTCACTGCGGGCTTGGGACGGAAATGATAATATAATCATTTAAAGGGGAATAATACACGCATATTGTATTTAATTTTACAAAACGATCCAAATAAACTTCCATATGATTGATTGATTTGATTAAAGAACCAGCATCACAGCACTCGGAGCATTCCCATAAGTGCTCTATCCCCATCTTCAGAAGCCAGCGAAGAGTTCCAATACTAATGGTGCCAATAGCATTCTGATTAAAATTCCGTAAACTTCCATATAAGAGTACTAATGTATAGAAATGTATTGCAGTACTATAAACCTACATAGTTAAAGTTGTGTCCCCTTTACAGGAAGTTGCAGAACCAACCCCAGTATTTTTTGGCTGGTGGTTTGTCTAGGCATATTTATGTCCAGTAGTTTGCCATTGCTTTCTGGGCGGTCGGTTTCTAGATAAGACTGTTAAAACCAATGCAAGACGCAAGGCTCGCACCTGGGATCAAGCGCGTTCACAACACCCAAGCCACAAACACTGACATAAACCTACGTTACTTTAAAATAATCTGTCAACTCCTTCTGTATCTTTGAGTCCAGAGGTTTTCTATGTGGTAGTGTTTCATATCTTACACAGAAATAGGATCTCGGTTGTATTTGCCTCCTCTTGCATTTCCAATCAGTTTTACTTTGATAATATTGTTTCGGCTTTTGAGTGGCTAGTTGTAGGTTGTCAGTTGAGAACTCTTGCTTCACCGCCAGCTTAGCACCTATTTGGAGGGATGGGGCAGTGACTTGGGGAGTGACTCAGGGTTACAATCGGCCTGCTGGCAATCCCCAAAATATGACCGATAAAGCAACCACCTCCTCCCCTAGCGTCCTATCTTACAGTCTGAGTTTCAAGGGAGAAAACAGCAAAATGTAATTTTTTCAAGTGAATGTGAGGGATGCACTAAAAAAGAAATATTCAAAGGGATATAACTGTGGCAAAAGTTCTGATTGCTGCAGTAAATTAAAAAAAATACACGTAAAGATGGCTGCCAGTCTGACTGTTAAATTAGACATTGTAGTTATAATTACATTTGAAAATTTAACCTGTCTAGTGGTCACGGTTTTCGAGGAGTTAATAATTGATTTAAAATGAACCCACAAAGTACAGGTAGGTGTTTTTGCTTTATAGTATAGATCTACAGACTGTTTGTTAAGGCACTGACTATAATTATATCCTTGTGAGATGCAATTTTTTGTTATTTTGAAGCCCCAACCTGGCTATTGCCAGGGGCCGCAATATAGCCCGGCCATAAATATGGTCTAATGGCTGAACGCGGTTTCTGGGACCTCTCCACGGGTGATCCTCATCCACATAGTGGCACTTTGTGTCATTGTGTGTTTATCGCTTGTGTGATGTCCGTGGGGTAAAAATCTACTACTACTACTAGTTAAGGGACTTTCTATTTCAGTTCTTCTCCCATTTTGGGATTCAGTTTTTCGTTATTTTAAAGTCCCACCCTGGCTGTTGTAGAGGGCCCTAATATAACCAAACTGTTGAGCGGGATTTCCTCATTTGCATGGTGGCACTTTATGTCACTGGGTGTTTATCACTCTGTGTGATGTCCTGGTTGGGTAAAACTTACTTACTTACGTTAAGAGACATCAGTTACAATGAATCTATCCTTTTTTTCTTCAAAATTGTGGCCCCGCAACCCGCGCAGGAAAATTTGTAAAATGTCCTCCATGTTAATAAAATTTCAGATTCACATTACTGTAAGTAAAATCTACGTTACCAGTAATATTCATACATAATATAGTTTCCATATTGTAATTCACATAGTTATGTATAGTGGTTTCATTTTACACAGTGATTACTTGAACAGTTACTGTTTGTCATCAACAGGGTATTCTTTACTAATCTCTGTGCACTGACGAATTTCTATAGGTTTCACCATTTCACTGATCAAAATATGGGTAACCGAACTGCTGCTGCTCTTTAGTGCAAGTAAAAAGGGGGGCGTCCATCTTTAAACTGTCACCATGTTTTTCTGCACTATGATGTCACACTCTTGACATCCTAACAATGGTGTTGACGAGGTTACAAGACAGTGGCTTTGTTATTGCTATTTCAGTTACTCTTTAAAGAAATTCATTTGAAGCCCTCTCATACTCCCCCCAGTAAATCCTCTTCATGTCACTTTTGTCTCATTAGTCTCTTTCTTCTTTCTGTTTTGTCATCTCACTGATACCAGATTGTAGCCTAGTGTCGTGGTTTTGTCCCCTCACTAATACCAGGTTGTAGGCCAGTGTCGTGGTTTTGTCGTCTCACTGATACCAGGTTGTAGGCCAGTGTCGTGGTTTTGTCGTCTCACTGATACCAGGTTGTAACCCAGTGTCGTGGTTTTGTCGTCTCACTGATACCAGGTTGTAACCCAGTGTCGTGGTTTTGTCGTCTCACTGATACCAGGTTGTAACCCAGTGTCGTGGTTTTGTCGTCTCACTGATACCAGGTTGTAGGCCATTGTTGCGGTTTTGTCGTCTCACTGATACCAGGTTGTAACCCAGTGTCGTGGTTCTGTCGTCTCACTGATACCAGGTTGTAGGCCAGTGTCGTGGTTTTGTCGTCTCACTGATACCAGGTTGTAGGCCAGTGTCGTGGTTTTGTCGTCTCACTGATACCAGGTTGTAACCCAGTGTCGTGGTTTTGTCGTCTCACTGATACCAGGTTGTAACCCAGTGTCGTGGTTTTGTCGTCTCACTGATACCAGGTTGTAACCCAGTGTCGTGGTTTTGTCGTCTCACTGATACCAGGTTGTAGGCCATTGTTGCGGTTTTGTCGTCTCACTGATACCAGGTTGTAACCCAGTGTCGTGGTTTTGTCGTCTCACTGATACCAGGTTGTAACCCAGTGTCGTGGTTTTGTCGTCTCACTGATACCAGGTTGTAACCCAGTGTCGTGGTTTTGTCGTCTCACTGATACCAGGTTGTAAACCCAGTGTCGTGGTTTTGTCGTCTCACTGATACCAGGTTGTAACCCAGTGTCGTGGTTTTGTCGTCTCACTGATACCAGGTTGTAACCCAGTGTCGTGGTTTTGTCGTCTCACTGATACCAGGTTGTAACCCAGTGTCGTGGTTTTGTCGTCTCACTGATACCAGGTTGTAACCCAGTGTCGTGGTTTTGTCGTCTCACTGATACCAGGTTGTAACCCAGTGTCGTGGTTTTGTCGTCTCACTGATACCAGGTTGTAACCCAGTGTCGTGGTTTTGTCGTCTCACTGATACCAGGTTGTAACCCAGTGTCGTGGTTTTGTCGTCTCACTGATACCAGGTTGTAGGCCATTGTTGCGGTTTTGTCGTCTCACTGATACCAGGTTGTAACCCAGTGTCGTGGTTTTGTCGTCTCACTGATACCAGGTTGTAACCCAGTGTCGTGGTTTTGTCGTCTCACTGATACCAGGTTGTAACCCAGTGTCGTGGTTTTGTCGTCTCACTGATACCAGGTTGTAACCCAGTGTCGTGGTTTTGTCGTCTCACTGATACCAGGTTGTAACCCAGTGTCGTGGTTTTGTCGTCTCACTGATACCAGGTTGTAACCCAGTGTCGTGGTTTTGTCGTCTCACTGATACCAGGTTGTAACCCAGTGTCGTGGTTTTGTCGTCTCACTGATACCAGGTTGTAACCCAGTGTCGTGGTTTTGTCGTCTCACTGATACCAGGTTGTAACCCAGTGTCGTGGTTTTGTCGTCTCACTGATACCAGGTTGTAGGCCATTGTTGCGGTTTTCTGTATTTGTCTTACACTTCTTGGGTGGCTTGGGTGATATATTTTTTCATCATTTTGCAGCTTTCAGCAACGCCATTTATCTATCTCTTTCTTTGTTCTCCCCTCGCCTTCCTCTCAGAAGTTTTGCTGTCAAAAGTCTCATATGCAGTTTGGTCTGGCTGCATTTGCATTAGATGGTTGAACCATTTCATTCTTTATCTGTCAGTATAATCCAGACATGGTTACATAAGGTACTGACAGGTAATCTGCATTCTAGCTGGTCTGCTTGTCTGCCTATGATATCCCATGTCGGTTTACCTTCTTTCATTTCCCTTTTTGCTGTCCTTCTCCTGATTGCCTTAGGTTGTGCTCATCTCCACATTTCCAATTTGGTATGTTCTAACATTCCAGCATTGTAGGTGTTTTGGGGAGAAAGAAGTTTCACAGCCAGTCTGTTGGCTTTTATTTTAGCTTTGTTCCCAGTCACTATTCTGCCAGTTGTTTGTCTAGCGTCACTTCTTTCCTCTGGTGCAAAATTTTTAAATATATATATATTAAAACAACAATGAGCTGTCTACCCCTTGACCAACCACCAGCCTGTAGGATGGGAGGTGCTTGCCAGTTTGTTCTGGCCCTTCTGTCAAGACCTGTTTGACATATTTAAATCTGCCAGGAGTACAAGCTCCCCGCCGGCATGGCTCTGAGAATCCTTAGAGCACACAAGCCATCTCGCCACGACACAGCACCATGCTCTTGACTAATCTTTTGTTGTGCTATGAGCTGACATCATAGAACACAGGACATTCCCATAAGTGCTCTGTCCTCATCTTCAGCAGCCAGTAAAAAGTTCCAATTCCGAGGGTACCACTAACAGTTTGATTATATGCCTGTTTTGCCTTTCCTGTGAGTGTAGAGTGTCGACCAGTTCCATTGGTCACTCATAGCTCTACCCTTCTCTCCAGACCGTAACTGATCTTGGGCTATCCTCCGAATAACGGTCCTAAATTATCGAGCTAAAAAATATACCCTAACAGGTCCTCAGTCACGTGTCAATTGCACACTTCGGGGGACTTTAACGCCAGCGCTGAATTGCAAATTTTTGGCGACTTATGCCACCGCCGAGAGTATCCCCCAAGCTGCTGATGCGGCATGGATTGGGGCTAAGCTAGATGGCTAGGACTCACGAGCGAATAAAATGAAGGAAGCTGCAGGAGATGCAGTAGCTGCTGCTAGTGAGTCGCAGCCATCTAGTTTAGCCCCAATCCACGCCGCTTGCTATCCACGCCGCTTGCTATCCACGCCGCTCACACGTGTGAGCGGCGTGGGGATACTCTGGGCGGTGGCGGAAGTCACCGGAAGTGCGCAATTTGAGACGAGGGAAGAGCGCAATTGACATGTGACTGAGGCCCTGTTAGGGTATATTTTCCGGCTCTATAATTTAGGACCGTTATTCGGAGGATAGCCTGATCTTGTTCTTGTATCCAGCTTCTGTTTTGTGCCGCTAGGCACTTTAACAGATGATAGGTAGCCAAGCCAGTTTGGGCTTGGTTGCTTGGTAGATAGTTGGTTAGTTAGTTGGTTGACAAGATTATCCTCATTGCACAACCAACCATTCAGTCTGTAAGTGCTTAGTTTCCTCCTGAGTAAATCCTGCAGTGTGTAGCAGCTGACGACACCAGTCCTATGTTGGTTTCATATTCTACTTTGGCTTCCTGTCTGGCCTTACTCCTTTTACCTTGCTGTTCTTGCAGTCTGGTCATGATTCCAGATTCGCAGTCATCATTTGTTTCTCACAAACATCTTACTTCTTATAAAACATTTAGAATGTCTACCTGGTCCATGGCTGGTCCGCCCTCCACCGTAGCTTTACCTGCAAGCCTATCAGCCTGCTCATTTCCTTGCACGCCTGAATGCCCTGGCACAAATATAAAACTGATATGTGTCAGCTTAACTGTCTCAGAGACTTCAGCCACTGTGTTCAGACCAAGCCCATCTTTCTTGGCATGCTGTGATGTTGTGAAGTTTTAGGTTGTCAGTGATTATTTCAGTCCATATTTTTCTAGGTCTCCCTCTGCCCCTTGATGTTTTCATTCTCATATTGTAAGCTTCACTGCTGCCATCATTAGATTCATTCTCTCTAGGTGTCTGAATCATTTCAGTCTTTAGTGTTAATATAATAAAATATATAATCATTATTACTGCACTTATCAGCCTAGTTATTAGATATACAAATATAATGAAAACGATTTATTTATTATCTTGTTATTCAAATCATATTTTCCCATACATATTACATAGTCTAATGTCTTCACTATAACTGCCTTGCTAACAAATTACGTGCTTCGGTTAAAAGAGTCAGTACTAATAAACTAAACGCTTCTTTGATAATAAATTACTGCTTGACTCTAGGCACGTAGCTGATAAGGATCGTTATTTACCACATATTAAATAGGCTTTTCCTGACCTAGTCCAAACCGTATCAATAAAAACAAATTCTCTTGTACTGTGTAAACAGAAAAACCCCAGTGATTGCGGTTAACAGTTTCATGATCCCTGAGTTGGTGTTCCTGAGTACTGTGTTTCATTTCCTACGGTGGACAGGGAAAATAATTCCTTTCTCGTGGTTTCAGACAGTAGTGCAAGAGTCACACTATGGAAGAGATTGGGGCCTCACTACGTAACATTCCCAAAGACAACAGTGGTGCAAGAGTCACACTATGGAAGAGATTGGGGCCTCACTACGTAACATTCCCAAAGACAACAGTGGTGCAAGAGTCCCACTATGAAAGAGATTGGGGCCTCACCACGTAACATTCCCAAAGACAACAGTGGTGCAAGAGTCACACTATGAAAGAGATTGGGGCCTCACTACGTAAAATTCCCAAAGACAACAGTAGTGCAAGAGTCACACTGTGAAAGATTGGGGCCTCACCACGTAACATTCCCAAAGACAGCAGTGGTGCAAGAGTCACACTATGAAAGAGATGGGGGCCTCACCACGTAACATTCCCAAAGACAACAGTGGTGCAAGAGTCACACTATGGAAGAGATTGGGGCCTCACTACGTAACATTCCCAAAGACAACAGTGGTGCACCGTAGCCAACCTTCATTGGGAGAAGGCACTGAACTTTGACCCTAATATGGTGAACCTTATATCATTAAATGACCAAATCACCAGCAGCTGAATCCAGCCTAATGTACTGGAATGATAACAACGTATTCATAACACCTAAATCACAAATGCCAACCTGAATGTATAGACAGACAAATTTCCTCCTCTCTGTGAAAAGTTATATTATCTGTCCAACTACAATGTTTAAATATTGTTTTTGTGATTTAATCTAAATTTAAAACATGTTTTTGCATTGTTTTCATGATTGTATCTCAGCCTGATGTTTATTTTTGTTATTTTCATGATTTTACAAACAATTATTTAAAAAAAATTTATATTAGCAGTTTTTCTTATTTGATCACAGTCGGAAAAAAAATTATGACTGGTAGTTTTAATGATTTGACCAAAGTCTAAAAATGTGTGTCTGGTAGTTTTCATGATTTAAGCAAAATCTACAAATTTGTGTGGTGGTAGTTTTTATGATTTGATCAAAATAAAAAAGTTTTTTTATAAGAATTGTTTTCATGATTTAATCAGAATCTGAAAAGGAATGTAATGGCTGTTTTCATGAGTTGATCAAAATCTGAAATGTGTATAATGGTAAAGTGAAAATTTGTGTTTTCATATTTTGATGTAAATCTAAACTTTGCTTTGTTTATTGTTTTCATGATTTTATCTAAATCTAAACTGCTTAACTTGTTTTTTTTTCATCTCAGGATTTGGAGAGGGTGCATAAAGTGTTGAAAGTTGTCTTCATGATGTTTCCCAACTACTGTCTAGGTCGAGGCCTTATGGAGTTAGCTTTCAATGAGTACAAGAATGAGTACTATTTTAAAACTGGTGAGTTGAGATTAACATTCAGTGAGTACCAGACTGAGCACTATTGTAAAACTTGTGAGCTGAGATTGGCATTCAGTGAGTACCAGACTGAGCACTGTTTAAAAACTGGTGAGTTGAGATTAGCATTCAGTGAGTACCAGACTGAGCACTGTTTTAAAACTGGTGTTGAGATAAAACAAGTGAAATGGGGGAAATATTTCATCTCACCTGTTAATTTGTGCAGCTAAAAACAGTAAAGTAAAGGACCCTTTTCCACGCCTTTCAGCGTATTGGGCATATAGGGCTAGACCTATATTTTATTGACCAACGGCACTTGATGGGTGATGTGGTCAGCATTTCACTGGCCACCTTTACTTCCCAGGACTTAACCTGGTAACTAAAGGCTGGGTTGATCTGGGAGCCAAGGTCATTTTTGAAAAAATTCCAACCCCCATCAAGAATCAAACCCATAATCTTCTGATCCAAGGTGAGCGTCTAGCTGCTAGACTACGGCAGCTCCCTTAGCTATTGATTAGGTGATGAAATATATTGTGATGGAAAACACCCACATTGTCTGGGTGGAGTTCAAACAGTTGGAAGATGTTGAATTTGCTGATGTTAATGTTCTGTTAAGTAATAACATCAAAGAAAAACACATGATTTAGAAAAAATAAAACCAAAAGTATGGAACTACAAATAAGTTATGAAAAGGCAAATATATTGAAGGCACCATTGACTGATCAAGCAGATGTAACACTAGAGACAAAAGATTTAAACTAACAGCTCAGTTTATTAATTTGGATAATAATATTGATAGTCAAGGCGATGCAAAGAAAGAAATTGTGACACACATTGGCAACAGCAGTTTTTAAAAGCTTGAATAAAATATCAAATTTTTTATTGTATAGTTTTAGAATCAAGTTATATATTGTCATTTCCAATGTTATTTCATTTTTAACATCTGATATTGATAGTTAGAGAACTTCTAAAGACGTGGAACAGAACTTATATTCATTTGAAAAAAAATTGCCTGAGAAAACGGACGAACATAAAATGGGATTAGGAAAGTAAGTAAAAAAGTAAAGGTCCCTTTTCCATGCCTTTAGGCATATAGGGCTAGACCTATATTTGTATAGACCAACTGTCACAAGATGAGTGATGTGTTCAGCATCATGCCAGCCGCCTTTATTTCCTGGGACTGCACCCGGTACCCACTCAAGCCGGGTCGACCTGGGATTAAGAAAGTGGTGTGAAGAAAAAAGAAATGTCTTGGCAACACTAAGACAGAAGAAGATGGCACAATATTGGACACATTTTGAGAAAAGACAAGCAGAGAGTTACTAAATAGGCACTGAAATGAGAAACTGAAATGGACTGAGGAAACGAGGACGTCCAAGAGATAAATACTAAAGCTAACATTGATGTGAGAAGCCAGATTTGCTGGTCTTCATGTGTATTTGAAGCAGAGATTAAAACTGTTGTGTGTGTGTTTGTGTGTGGGTCACAGGTCAGATCGACAAGATGCGGTCAGCCATGGAGTTTGACCTGATCCCCTGCCATCTGGTGGCCATGGCCAGTATTGGGCTGATCTTCTTCCTCATCACCCTAATGTGTGAATACAGGTTCTTCGTCAGACCCAGGTCAGTCAAACAGATCTGTGCGAATCTGTTTATTTTGTCTCTCTGCCTGTCTTATTGTCTTTCTTCTCTGTTTCTCTTCTGCTGTTTTCCTGTTTGCTCCTTTTATTTTCCCCAACGTCTGTTCCTTCCTGCTCACCTGCCTGCCTACTCGACTGCCTTTATATCTTCCTCCTCATCTGCCCGCTTTCCTTTCTGCTTTCCTTGCTTTCTTCTGTTCTTTCTCTTTTCTTCCTTCATGCCTCCTTCTCCCTCTCACTTGTATCACTATCTGCCTATTATTTGTCTACCTTTTCCTTTCTGAAAGTAAAAGCAAAGAACTCTGTTCACACCAAGGGTGCGTTGGACATATGTTGCTAGACTCACATTTTTACAGACCAATGGGTGCTCAATCGATGGGTCATGTGGTCACCAGCACGTCAGCCATCTTGATTTTTTTAGAACTTTATCTGGTGCCAGTTCTAGACTTGGTCGGGCTGAGAGCCAGCCAGTCATTTGCGAAAAAAAACGTTTAATTTTTTTTTTTTTAATCTTCACATTAAACCAGCATCTTCCAAAGGGAAAGCTTTAGGTTATAATTATGTCTAGGTTTTTTGTGTGTCATTCAAAATGGCTAATATTTGCTCATCACCAAGTAGTCCTGAAAAGGACTCTAGCAGTATTGTTGGAGACAGACCCAACCTGTCTGCTGGCAGATGCTGGTCATTTTTTATAAAATTTTGACTCAGTGCAGATTGGAACCCATGACCACCAGGCCAGTAGGTGGAGCATCTAGCTGCTACACCACTGCAGCTGCCCGTGATTATCTGTAGGTCATGGTTTTGTTTGCATAAAATACAACCTATTCTTCTAACTACTTAAATTTCCTGTGTGGGTTCCTGGGGGCCCCATTTTAGGGGGTAGAGGGAGGGGTAAATGCCCCCTAACAAGCATGTTGTAGAAGGCAGCTAATTAGGGATGTTTCCTTCCAAGTCTGAGTGCATCTAGCTGAGAGGTGAGGAACCAACAGTCTGCATACAAATAAGCCAGATCTGCAGAAGTGATGTGCACGCAAAACTCCAGTACAGGAACAGGATCAAAGTCCAGAAGTGGACAAACAACCACAACTTTCTGCTGTTGTTTACAGCCACTGAACGCTAAAAAGAAGAGATGTCCAGATCTCCAAGGACCCAGTTATACTTTCTGTTTGCTTGTTCAGAGTCTAGGTTTCTGCACCATGTGGATATTCTGTTACAAATGTTCACGCAACACCCCCCCCCCCTTTCCACCCTCCCCTCCCCCTCCACCCTCCCCTCCCCCTCCACCCCCCCTCCACCCTCCAACTCCTCCACCCCCCTCCACCCCCCCTCCCCCTCCACCCCCCCCCTCCACCCTCCCCCTCCACCCCCCTCCACCCCTCCACCACCCCCCTGTGGGAGCTGGTGTCGAGAATTCTTCTTCTTATGGTGCTCATTGATAAAGACTTTGATTGAAACATTCTAATGTCTCTGTGTATAATGACTGAGGAGAGCTTGGCATATAATATTTACCACATCCAGGATGAGAGTGGAGGTTGAGGCGGTAACTTCTGCATTCTGATTCGGTGGAGAAAATCTCAGCCACACATGCTGTCATAGTTTGGGATTCACAAAGCATATTCTGGAAGGTGAAGTGAGGTTTTCTTCATATGGAATGGGTCACTTCAAGTCGGAGTTAGCAAGTGTTGAGGGTCACATGAATATTTTATGCGGGCTGTGCAGGTGTGTTTGGGAATGAGCAGGTGGATAGGTTGGCAGGACTGACCCCAATTGGGGGTGCACTGCAACTACACAAGGCAGAGGTGATCTCTCTCCTGCAGGATAGGTAATAAGTGAAATAGAAGATATTAAAAATTTGCACCTGGAGAGAATCATGCAGGAGGAAGTGTCTGTGAGCTCTTAGCACCACTTCAGACTCAGAGAAGGTGTTAGGTAGATAGGTTCTTAAAAAAAACAAAAAAACCAGCATCCCTGAAGGGGGAGCTTTAGGTTATAGTTGTGACTAGGTTATGTGCACCAAATAAAATGGCTTAGCCATGCATGCCACCAAAAGCCCTGAAATGGACTCTCCCAGTGTTGATGCAATCAGAGGAGACAGACCCAAATACTGACCCCACCGGAGATGAAGTCCTCTACCGGTGAGCCAGTAGGCGACCTGGTCACTGATGTTTTTTAAGGGGAGAAGCAATATGAATAGTTAACCAGCCGACAGCGGGTGCCATCACCGTGGAGACTCTTTTGAAGATGGAGACAGAGCTAATATGAGCTTTTCCTGAGTCCTGTGATGTCAGATTTTTACCCAGACAATCCAGATGGGTATTTTTTCTTTGCCTACCTATTGAACTTTCTAGTGTATGCTCAGCGAATTTATTTCTTGATACCAGCTCGACTGCTGTCACCCATATTTTTATCACTTTAAAAAAATTTAAAACTGCTTGACAGTAAATATGTTCTCTTTTTTTATGCTCAAAATATTTTTCTCTAAATCTTTAGTTATTTTTTTATACTCTATTTTCAGACAAAGCAAAGTCTCTCAGACACCACTGACAGAAGACAGTGATGTGGCTGCCGAACGAAAAAGAGTTCTCAAAGGCAACGGAAAATACGACATGCTGGTTCTTGAAAATTTAACGAAGGTTAAGCAACGTCAGTTTTTATCATGAATAATTGTAGGGGGTTGCTCAAATAGTGTCATTCTCTTATGGGTTCTGAAACCCAATTTTGGGATCCGGGGCTGAAGGGATAAACTCACTGCCCCCCTAACAAGCTTGTCATCAATGGCCATTAATTAGATGTTTGCTGAGATTGGATGTATTGGGCCAAAAAGCAGATATTGCAGGCTGTCTGTTGAAAACCAAACATATCAACATTTTAGGAGTAAAGGTATAAGAAGAAGCATGGCCAGGTTTTATCTGCTAAGTGTAATTTTGCTAAATGAATAATTCTGGACAAGAAACTGATTTGATATTTTGGCCATATTGCAAACAATAAGATTTGTGGTCATGTCATAAACAGTGAGATTTGTGGTTATTTGAGATGGCAAACCATGAGTTGTTTGGTTTTGTGATATAGGAAAACTTGAAATTTGAGATGACAAACCATGAAATTTGCAATCATGTGGGTGACAGATCATGAGATTTGTGGTCACATGATAGGGTTTACCATGATATTTGCGACTATGTGAGGTGACAAATCATGACATTTCTGCCATGTGTAATGGCAATCAATAAAATTTGTGGTGACGTAAAATTGCAGACCATAATATTTGTGGTCGTGCGAGATGAGAGACCATTATCGGTCTTGCTAATTTTCATGGAACATGATACTATGTGTAGATTGAGAAAAGAATTGTTATTGTCAGACATCTTTTTATAGGCGTAACAGATGTATTGATATTTTTGTAAGTGTGCCCACACTTTCGTTAACATGCAAATACTGATTACCTTGTTTCCACTTCTCAAAGAATGGTAAATGTTGAATTAAGAATCGACGTCACAGCACTCGGGACACCCCCGTAAGCATTCCGTCCCGATCTTCAGCAGCACGCGAACAGTTAAAATTCCAATGGTACCAGTAACTGTCTGATTGTATATCCGCCTTGCTTTTCCCCGAATGTCCAGTGTCGGCCAGATCCCCTTGTAACTCCTCGCAGTGCCATTTTCCTCAGACCATAATGATCTATCTGTTCCTGGGCACTGTTCACTTGCTCCCAAAGGGCCCTCACGACATCTAGCTTGTCATACATCAGTTCACTACCTAGTGGTGCAGAACTGGCCAGTCTATCTGCCTGCTTATTTCCCAATACACCCGCATGATCCGGAGAAAATATCCAAAGGATGCTAACTACCCGGGACCTTTGAAGTATTTCTACTTCTCAAAGAATGTTTATTGAAAAACTCATAATAATTGCAAAGTTAGTCTGGCCTCCATGCAAAGTTATTGACTACTGAGTAGCCACTCATTTATTCTCATAGCTCACAAGCAGACTAATCCCAGGTAGTCAGTGGCTAAGTATGTCAATAGTACGCTGGTATAGTTATTCACAAAGCATACTAGCAGTATAAACAAAGTCATGAGAGACTAGCAGATGCGTGTGGAATAATAATTAACACATCATCGTGGCTGCCACGACTAACTTTATAATTTTGGCTACACAGAAAGAACACTTGTCATAAGTATGAACCACTACTACTGTCCTCCTCACAGCTTAAGATCCAGCCCGTGCCAAGCAAAAACAATTCTCACATTTGAGGGATACCAAACAGACACATCCATCCACTGGACTGTCAAACTACCAACTACCGTGTATTGGTCTACCTATTTGTCAAATCCACTTGTATACTCCTTTCACCCGTAACACTCAGTTACCCTGATACCCCTGCCTGTCTTGCCTACAAACATACCTTTCTGACAAGCATTTGTCCTGTCTGCTGTTATGAGTCAAAATCTAGTAATTGTTTGTCCTTCTCTCACAGTGTGTGACAGTTATATACTGTGTTTTTCTGTGTATAAGACAGTATATTTTCCAAAATTTGTTAAAGCGGGTCGTTCTGTTTTCAGAATGATGTTTAAAATATTTATTCCTCATTGTGGGCTAAAATAAATAAGAGTCATCTTATACCCGGGTGCATCCTGTACACAAAATATTAGTTGTTTGGTTCAGGTTGGGTTAATATTTTGTCCTCTCTTACAGGTGTATAAGACTCAGAAACTAGGTCGTCATCTGGCAGTTGACAGGTTGTGTCTCGGGGTTCCCCCTGGGGAATGCTTTGGCCTTCTTGGTGTCAATGGGGCTGGAAAAACCACAACGTTTAAGATGCTCACTGGTGACCTGAAGCCTACCTCAGGCTGTGCCTACTTGAATGGATACAGGTAAGACTATACCTGTTTTAGTTGGTCTTGATGCTACTCAGCCTGTAAAAGAACAGATAATCACAACATGCACATTACAACAACAAAAAAGCAGCTGATGAATGTGCTGTTTGT